GGAATTGATTGGAGTCTGAGGGTTGGTTTTCTGTTTGTGGTTATTTGGGAGTGGAGAATGATAATCATGAGGCTCGTCATTGACAATGTCATCGACTAAAGCTTCATCATGATCATCATTCTGAGGGAAACACTCAAAATACCTTCTGATTTGCATAGATGTGAACTCAAGTTCTTTTAGATAATCTTCAGAGATTCTTACCTTCATCGATGACTTCTTCCTTGATTAATTTTCGAAGATTCTCTTCGGTAATACCAGCGCTTCTCAATCGGTGGTGAATTTCAGGGCAATCGAGGAATTTAGGGTCGAATTGATGATTTTTATCGATGGGTGATGAATAGGATAAAAGGGAACCACAAATAAAGGCTTGTGTGGTCATCGCCTCGCGAATGACCTTGGTGACATAGGCTTTACCTTGGACTGAATATTTAAGTCCATAAATTTCACAGAGCTTTTGACGATTAGTCTCGTCATTGATATAAGCGCCAACCGTAATTGTTTCTTCAGACATGATTGAATCACTGAATGTCCAATCGTGCACGTTAACTCTTTTGTTTTCGTGAAAAAATTCAACTAAAGATGTGTTGAGGTTTGGAACAGAAAATGCTGTTCTTAATGATGAATAAATTCTCGAATCGAATGATGTGAAGAATTTTGATTCTATTGAAGATGAGGACGAAAGCTCCACTTTGTTAAATTGTTACTAATTGTTGCTAAAAAGCACACATAGGGAAAGAACACACTCAGAGCTAGTAACACGTGTAAAAGGAACACACTTTTCACGATGACCTTCAGACAAGATAATGATTACCACTACTCTCTGAAGTTATTACTCGTTTAAGTAATGAGGGATCTCCACCATTTGTAAGGTCTAATTAATTCACGGGGATGAGGTACAGGCACCCTTACAAAAATGCACCGAAATGATCGAACTGCAATCCTAGCAATTAGTGAGAGGGTTTAAAGTAAATTACCCTAATATCCCTCTTAGCTAATTAGCAAGAGCAATTGAGTAACGATTTAGTTAATTAGGAAATTGTTTATTGAGATAAGTAACACTTTGAGATTTGTAACATGGAAACGGAAGTTGAGAGATTGGGGAAGAGAGAGTTAACTTGAGTAAGTTAAAGGTTAGACATTAACATAACCTGATTGAGAGATTAACATAGAGATGAGTAGTAACTTGACCGTAGTAACAAGTGATGAGGAAGAGGAAATAGCATAGGTATTTATGCAGGTAAAGAAAGTGATGATTGGTTACAGAGATTAAGCGGGATAAACAAATATAATAATTAATTGATTGTTGATGGAGAGAAATAATTAAGGGGGAAAGAAGCCGATCGAAGCGTTTCCCTTACATCTTCTTTATCATCTTCATCATCATCATCGACGTATTTATCATCCTAATGTAAATGTCATTGTGCTCACTCAGTTAGGGTCAAGGTTAGAATCCATTTTCCTATGTAAAGATAATATTGAACTAGAAGAAAAGTATAAACTGTTACTCTGAATGCGCAAGACGATTGGGTGATAATATGAGTTTATCTTTCCATTATCTCAGAATCCAGAACTTTTTTTTCCACTCACAATTTAACACAATAGAGAAAGAGAAAGTGAAAAAAGTTCCAACGTGAAAAAAAATCAGATAAAACGGTAAACCACCAGTACGCAAATGTAACATCATGTAACCTTGAATCAAAATTTCTGGTTTTTCTGTTTATTTACTCAGTCAATTTAGTATTACATTGTTTTAATACTTTAACAACAATTAATCACTGATCACGATCTAATAACTGAACAATCAATTGATAATCTTTATCATATTTTATCAGTTTTTTATCATTTCACTTTCATATTGAGTTTTCTGTTTTCAAATTGTCTATTTTTCCTTAATTGTAATGATCAACTTTGCTTCAAATTAGTAAAATTAACATTCAAATTAATGATCCATTTAATTTGTCGCTATAACTTCAATAATCTTGATCGTAATTGTAATCAATTAATACAATATAATGTTCAAGGTTTCGAGTTACTTATGATCATCATCATGATCAGAGTGTATATAAAATCCGTAGGAATGAACTTTATCAATTCTGATTAGTGATAACAATTAACTCTCTCTCATTAATTTCAAGTGTATACAATCAATATTGATCATGAATGATACTTTTAATCAACCTTGAACAGAACCTCAACTAGATTAAATTAATCATAGAGCATTTTAAATATATTATTATTTTTAACCATTTTATCAAGTTAATTAATACTTAAACTTAATCCACTGTGATTAACAATTAAATGCTAGTTGGAAAAAAAAGTAAAATTCAACAGCAATTAACTTGATTCAGTAGTGCTATTGAACTTTAAAAGGTATTATATACAAATATGATTACAATCAATGTAATCATATTGATGATACTGAGTTACTAAATTGTAATCAATGACAGGATAGTTATTATTGAATTTGAATTTGATTAAATTGTTACTCAGATTATTGACTTTCTCAGTTAATTATCTTGATCTAGGACAATGTAACTAGGGTGAAGTTGATATCATGATTGTTGTTGATAATAACTCATTGATTGTTGATCAACCTTGATTGTTGACTGTTTGTTTACCTTGATTGTGTTGATTCAATATCATGTTATTGTTATTAGGATTAAAAGATTACAGAAAATACTAAAAGGTTAACATATTAATACTCTGGGAATTGATGTTGATGTTGATCAAAGGTGATGAGGATGGAATGAAAAAAAAAGTTCTGATTCAGATTCTGAAAGACCTTCAATTTAAAGTGATTGTTTGATTGATTGTTTTATTTACTTACGAAGGGTTGTCAACCATTAGAACTGTTTGATAAGTTCGTTGAAACCTTTCCAAACAATTAAAACAATTAAATTGTGATTATCGTCATCAAGTCTTTGGAATATGTTGATTAACAACTGATCATAATGATAATATTGGAACAACAAATAGAATCAATTTTAATGATAGAATAGATTTAGACAACAATTAGATGATTTTTAACATTTTCCATTGGTTTAATTACCATTTAATTAGATTTTTAATGTCATTGAATTGTTAATATTGTTAATTATTGATTGTTTTTCTTTCCTCTCTTATGCTGATTAACTGATTATTCCGTTAATTGTTTCATCTATGAAATGTTTGTTTATTGGTTCACATGATAATCAATTGATTGTCAGATTTGATGATCAGGATAAAATAGAATCAAGCTAAATATAAGTGATAACATTTTCAAAGGATCTCGAAAGTGATGTCAAAGTGATGAGGATGAAAAGAGTTGAGAAAAAAAAATCGAAAAAAAGAAAAACTTTTTAAACCAGTTTTGTTTTTCTCTCCATCCTCATCACCATCTTCATCTTTACTCTGGATGATGAATGATTAGAGATGAAAAATTGTTCATCATCTTTGATAATTTTTCTCTTTTTTCTTCTTCTTCTATTTCTCTTTCTGCTCGATCAGTTTATTAATAGAACAATTTTTTTCTTCGTCCCCCTCCCATTACAACTGCGTTGAAAAAAGAAGAAGATAAAATTCTGAACATGATTGATTCTTAAAATTCTGTAGAAAAGTTCCTATGATGAGGATGATAAAATTTTCTTCATCAACAAGTAGATGAAGTTTCGGTCAATTACTATTCAAGTCATTTTCTTTTCCATCATCATCATCATCATCATCTTTACTCTTACACTTTCACTTTCAATCCTTTCGCCACTTATACTCACTTACCTGGTTACTTTTGAACGAATCGGCTTCAAGGTCAACTCTTACCTTCTACCTGTCTATTTATCTTCCATCTTCATCATCAACATCATCATCTTCTTATGAAGAAAAACCTTTTTTCTCCATTTTTCTACCTTTTTCCATCTTCATGATAAACCGGTTGTTTCATCTTAGGATGATGATGATGATAGCCTGAAGATAGAGACTTGTTCAGATGATTTCTCCATAATCATCATCATCTTCCCCTGAAAGAGAAAATTAATACAATCTCATCATGAGCATCTCATCTTCATGGGGAAAGAAAGTTAAATAAGAAGAAGAAGAAGAAAAAAAATCTCAATCCTTTTCTTTTTTCATCATAATTACCTGTTTTTCCATTGAGTATATTTCATTGTCACGAATCCATCATCATCATGATAACTTAAATATGTACACACCTTTTGTATTCATTTTAATTCTGGTCTATAATTTGATGATTATAATCTCACCAATGTTAATATAAACTAATAATATCATGATAACACATAAATTATATTCGTAATCAAATTAATCGTTGATCATTGTTGCGCCATTTTCATCATCTATCATTTCATTTGAAAACTTTCCATGCAAACTTTTGCTCTGATAATGATAATCTATTGTGAATATTGATGATGTTGATTAATTGATTCTTTCATTGATAATCAGAGATGATTTAGTTTTCTAAATGATAATAAAAAAAAATTTACTCATAACGATATTTTAACGTTGGGGTAACGAAGCTTTCAGAAAGTAACGAAAAGTGCAAAAGTTTTTTTCTCCTTACTGTAGATTAACTTGATGATCAATTTTATGACAGAATTAAATTGCTGTCATTTAGAGAGGGAGATATACTAATAATGAGAGACTCATCATCATCATCATCATCATCATCGGCTTCTTAATCATCATCTTCTTGTTTCTCTTGAGAAGCAATTAAAATGAAAATTAAAAGTTGTTTTCTTGTTCGTTTCAAGATAAATCTGATATTTTTTTTTCTACTGAATTCTGAGCAATAAACAGCTAATGCTGGAGATTTCATGTGATGAGGAATAAGAAAAAAAAGAGGAAAAGGAAAGAGAAAGTTTCAGAATAAAGTTCACAACGAAAATGAAACTTGTTTTCAGAGTGAAAGTGGAAACTTTTATTTTCATGGTAATTGAATTTCATTAGTAGATTTTGAATATTCAATTGATTGAAATTAATTGTTGTTTATTTAAGATTCATGGTGATGATTGAGCTCATTGAATCTGTTGAATTAGAGTAATAAAAACAGTTTTAATATCCGAGGACATTGAATTGATTTAGATTCAGCAAAATGAATGATGAAAATGGAGAAAGAAAAAAAAACTGAAAAGATCAATCAATTTAACGATCAAAATGATTAACCAATCAACTGGATCAATGTAACGATCATCATGAAAAGAATCACATTTTTGATACATGAATTTTATTTCCCATCATGTTCAGGCTCAGAAATGTTCATGAATCGTTACCGTTCTGAATCTATTTCAAGGTCTGAAAATCGTTCTGGAAGTTTGATTTTTCTTTCTAAAAGTTTTTTTCTCTTCTTTTTTTGTCAAAAAAACATCATCACCATTTTATCATCATCATCATCACCTTAACTCAACAATTAAGCCTTACCTGTACAACGAATCAGTTAATTTTCACCTGATCCTTTATTACCTGTTGAATTTTATTAGGTTCACATTGAGATCCAACAACAGTAACTTTGTAATTGTAATTGTAGTTAACTAATTGTCCTGGAAATGATTTGATTTTTTTTCTTGCTGTTGTTTATTGATGATGCTTTTGGTGATTAGTAAATAATAATAACAATAACAATCAATGAAACAATTAAGAGTAGGAGGAGAGAGCAACTTGATTAGGAATTAAGTTGATCAAATGATGAAAAGTTGGTTAATTGTGTAAAATAATTTCACTTTAATTTCAATTGTAAATCACTGGTAACAATTAACTTACTCATATTGCTCATGTAAATATATCATCTAGTTTATTGTGGTGGCAAACTAGAGATTTGATTATTTAAATTTATTGACCGATAATCAAATTTGATTATCGGTCAATCAACTTATTGTATGTATTTTATTGATTGTTAATTTCAATTAAAGTAATCAAATCACATCCGACCTTCAGTTTAATATAACAATACTAATTCAATTTGATTGTACAATATGTTTCATTTATTATCATCAATTGAATATCAATCTCATATCATGGTTAATATTAGCATTTAATTGTTGATTAGTTGATTGTTATTAGGTTGCATTATGGATGATTCATCATCATCATCAATTGATTGTCAATTATATTTGATACTTTTCATTAACAATCAACAACAATCCAGAAACAATGTTACTTTTTTCATTAAATTACTTTCTCCTAATTAAATGTAATAGCAGAAATTAATTGTAATCAAACAATTTAGTAAGAAACCCAAATGACAATTAGTTAATTAGAATCGATCAGTTTTTTTTGTTGCTCTCTCAATTACCTGATTAGAGTTTTAATCAAGTGTTGATTAACATTAATCAATGATTGTTTGATTGTAACAATTGAGATTTCCTTTGATTACTTGAAAATCAAACTTGTTAATTGTTAACCTATTGAAAGTAAATTATCATCATCATGATTAAAGATTATTAATCTTTTACCTCTTTCCTAATATACGATATTTATAACAATTAATCTTGACTGTAACACTAATCACAATTAACGATAGACACTGAGAGATTGATAAATGTGAATGTTAATTATCTGAGAATTAACTAGTTGATATAATTAAATTAACCCGATAATTGATTATGAACTGACATAAATTGTTAATTAAGGTCGAGATCATGACGCAGTTGATTGTGCTTTTAATCATTGGATAAATTGTTCAATATAAAATGATAACAATTAACAGAAAAATATTGAGCAATTAAATTTTCAATCACCTGAAATTAACAAACAATTGACATTCAAGTGATTCAGATAATCATCAGGGATTAGGAAACAAGATCATCTCTCTCATGAGATTAACATGATTAAAGTGACAAAAATTTGGCAACAATTGTGGTCCAATAATTGTCATAAGAACTGAACTGAATCAGTTGATGATGATGATTATGATGATGAAATTGATGAAGATTAAGATGATAAGAAAACAAATATACAGTTGAATGAAAATTAACCTTGATCATTGGGTTGATGATGTTGAGAACGGATTAAAGATTAAGATTTAAAGAGTTAGAACTTTTTTTCTCGAGTTAATCTTTAATTTCATCATCAACTTTGATCATTATCATTAACATTATGATCCCGTTTTGGCAAAACAATTTGGCAAATTAACTTTAATCATCATTAACCAATGTATCTCAATATAAGGTTACATTGGAGAGATAATGAGAAGTTGTAGTTAACTTTTCACAATTAACTCACTTTTTTTCACAATTAACCAACAATTTATCAATTCTAATCAATTAATTGCAAAGGGTTCATTGAATTCACTTAATCATAGTTATAATAATGATTATCATTTACAGTTATTGTTATATTATTACATTGTTTCAATGGGAGAAGAGTAAAAATCAAATCAAATCAAATTAACTGTGCTAATTACAAAGGTTAATTGTGATCAGTTAATGACAATTAGAAAAAACCTCCTTAACAATAATCAACTGTAATCAGTGTTTAATTGTTTCATTGGAATAAGTTGATTTAATACTTGATAATTAACCTTTGAGAAAACGTTTTCAATGATTAAGTTTTTTGTTTCTTTAGTTAATGGAAAATTGTTTCAACGGATTAACAATCAAATTTAATTGTTGATTAGGCTAAATTTTGAATAATTTACACTTCTGGTAAATTGCCTGTAAACCTTGAAACACACTTGGCAATCAACCAATCAACTAAATCAACTAATCAAGAATAGATTAGAAACAATTTTTGATTTCTCTTTGGTGTGGTTAATGATTTACTAGGGATCAGCAACATTTTCATGATTAAAAATTAATCACAATTAACTATTTAGTTTTATCATGTTGATAATTATTAAAACATGATTAAACCTTTAAAAGCCTTGGGTTCAATTGAACGCAAGGTTTATTAACCCTAATCAAATTTAATAGTAATTAAAGATTACGTTGAGATTATTAATTGTATCACTCGATACAATGTTTAAACAATTAACAAATTGTTGTAGTTTATAATAACATCATAACCTGGTTAATTGTCAAGATGTTTAATTGGTTGACTTTTATACCAATTAACTCACCTATTGGTATACAATTAACAGTCAAAGACTTTGCAATCAACAATCAATTAACAATCAAGAATCATCCTGATTACGTTTATATTGTTAATTGATCAATTTAATTATCTATCAAAATGGTGATTATTGATTAATTTAAATCCTTTCCATGTTTGATTTGATTCTCAACAATTAATATCTAGAAGAGAGAGAAAAAAAAATAGATTAATCAATTGATAATTTAACGATGATGACGATAATTGACAATAATTAATGATTAATTCAAGGTTTAATTGTTTACTAGACAATTAATAATAACTAATGATGATGATGACAATGATTAATTAAGTACGTTGGCCTTTTGTTGGTTCAGAAAAACAACCAAATCATTGATTGTTAATTGTCAACAAATCAAATGAAAACTTTCAAGAAAAACTATCAATTGTTTTTCATTATAATTTCATTTTGATTATATAATTAGTTGATTAGTTGACTAGTTAATATTTACTGTTGACTAATTTTTTACAATAGTAGAAAATTAAAAATCAAGCAAATCAAGACACAGAAAAAAATAATAACATAATTGTTAATACAATTGTGTTTCCATCTTAGCACAATTAACAATCAAAATTAATCGTCATCATCATCACAATGATTAACATCGACATGTTGATGATTATTTTTGATTACAATTCAAGGAAAAATTAACCAAGAGTCTAATGCCCTTTTAATTCAGATGATATTTAACTACGACAACGATATTTGATTAATTGTAAATCATTGAATCAGCTTGTTGAATGTTCAATCAAATTAACAATCATCAAAATAAACTATTCTTTGATTCTGTTTACAACTTTGACAATGTGACATTTTCCTCTCTCTCTCTCACACACAATTTTATCATCAATTGATTGTTTTACCATCATTTCTACTGATTTCACTTTAAATTGTTTCATTTGGTTGACAATTAAAACTTATATCGATCAAGCAGAACTTTTTGTTTCTCCGTTGATTCAATCATGACGTTCACTTCTTTACATTGAGTAATCATTACTTTCCATTCAATTGAATCAAACCACCGAATCCATTGATATCTTCATGATAATTTCGACAATAAGCTCCATGGAAATAGGAAATGTTCATTTTTCTCCTTCATCTATTTCGAAAAAAAATATAAAATAATATATAACAAGATGATGTTTAGTCTGAAAAGAAGAAGTAAAAAAAGTAGTTAGAATAATGAGAAAAGGAAGAGAAAAAAGAAAGAATCATAATCATAGAATGGCATTGAAATGGTAAATAGAAATGGGTGGAATTGAATTGTTCTATTGAATCAATCGAAGGTTAAATACACACACACATAGAGAGAATGAATGAGTGAGAGAGAGAGAGAGCCACATAGAGAAACGAATACAGCGGGAGTAGGGGAAGAGAAAAGATGAAAGTTTGGTTATCATAATTATTCGTAGCACTTTGTTGCAATTACAGCAGAATTTGAGATAAAAGTTCCATAAACATACTAACACAGCGGATTAATTGAAATAGAATTCATCAGATTAGCAGAATTAATCGAGAAAAATTAGCATAATATTGACATTCTGTCTCTCTCTCTCACTATGAGTAACTTTCACTTTCATTAAATCATTTGGCCATCAGCAGACACAAAAATTAACATTCAACTACTTTTACATATTAGCATAATTATCACAGCAATTGAATGTATTATTAGCATGATGATTGTTATTTTTGTGAACAAAAAAGTCAAACTTGGCGGGGTAACAATAATTTTTGACTTTTCTCTTGTTTTTTTTTGCATGTTGATCCTCTTCTGTTGTGATTATCACTTTTTTTAGGTTAATGACAGTGACCTTTATTGGTAACCAACATATAGTAGTTGTCTCCTTGCTCCATGATTCTACATCATGTTACTGTGAATGCTTTCGAAATGATGATAATCAAAATTCCTTCTTTCCAACATTTAATCCAATTCCAGTGACGTATCATTCCACTTTCTCTGTATTCGTGTCTCTTTCTCTTCATCAGTTTATCCTTCCTTTTTTTCAGTAGTAGTTACATTATCTTCAACTCATTAACTTAACCGTAGAGGCGAAGAGCATGAGCTCTATGTTGATATTCACTGAGCCGAGAAAACAAAGTGGATGATGATGATGATAGTTGAGGTGTAGTGGTAATTTCTGTATATATCTCTCTCAAAAGCTGAAACTGTTCATCATATTAACCATCAATATCTAGAGAAAAAGAATAAAATTTTCAAGATAAATATTCGCTTTGTTAACAATAGATGAGAAAAGAAAAGTAATAACGATATTAGGCTTTCTACCTTTTTCTCTGAAATTCGTAATTATTTTAATTACTCAACAGAATTGTAAGTGTTTTACTAATTTCCATTAGACTAATCATCATCCATGATCGTTACTTTCTCTTTCTCTCTCTCAATTCTTTGCCTCTTTCTTCATGAATGAGTTGGCGTTTGGGAACTTTATCATCGATATCATCTGATTTCTGGTATCATGATGATGCCATTTGGTTGGATGACGATGAACATGAGATGATTTGGAACCAGAATTTTGTTGTCATCCTTTTTCTCGTCTAGAAACCTAATCCATATTGATTATTTACTATAATCAGAGAGGGAAGAAAAAAAATAATTGGAAATAATTAGATTAAAGTTTTAAACATTGTTTACGTTCAATTTTTTTGCTTTTTGGCAAAATTAGTTAATTGTATGAAAAAAAGGTTGTTAAGAACTGGTTAAATTGGTTAAATTGTAAGGAGAATACGTCAAATTGTTGTAATTGTTACCCATCAATTGACTTGTATTATTAGTTGAGACCATCAGAATTGCTGTTGATTTTTACCTTTTAACAATAGTTACACTTGAACTAATTTAAATGATTGTTTAAATTGATTGAGCCAATTGAGTGTAACAAAAACAAAAGAAATCATTTTACTGATTAGCTGATTCTTTGGATTGATTGTCACAATTGAACCAAATCAAATTACCTAAGAATGAGATATAAAAGAAAGATAAAATTGTTGTAAAAAAACAAAACGCAATTAGTTAAATCATATCATCTAATATTTGATTAGGTTATTAGTCTAATGGATTAAAATTTTACATATTCAATTGTATTCACAATTTACCTTTTCTATTCCCATTTTCCTGAACAGATAATGGAGAAGATGATAATCATCATCATCATCGTGGTAATAACGATGACGTTCAGAGAAAACTGGTTGTAGTTTAATTATTTACTTTAAAATGTCATTGAAAGTTATCCAAATTGTTTCGTATTTCTGAAATATAAGAAAAAAAATGAGGGGAAAATTAGACTACGATATTAACAATCTAAGGCACTTTATCATCATCATGGTGGTAATGATGAGCTTTTTATCAATGCCAATACATTAATGTCATCAAGTTTCATTTACCCTCAATGGAGATCATAACATTTAATTGTGACTTGTTTCTTGTTGGATTTGGACTTGATGATTGAGTGATTGTCATGATTTTTTCCATTATCACCTTTCCTTTTGTTTATCCTGGTAATGTTTTCCAAATTAATGTTGTAACAACAACTTATTTACCTGGTTAGAAAGGAGAAAGAAAAATATTGATAGTTAGCTAATCATGGATTATGTAAAAAAAACTCAAGGATAAATGATTAAGGATGGTAAGGAAACGTCAATTATGAAAGTATGTCTCAATTGGGTTGTCTGGTATATGGATGTATTCAACTACACCTCTCGTAATTATGATTAACCATCATGGATACCACGCCAGTTAATTGTACATGAAGGGTAATAGATTTACATGTCTGTAATAGTTATTAACTAATTGCTAAGAGAGGGAGAGAGAGAGAGATATTAGTATTTAGCTGAGAAAATGGCGATGAGTGGGTAAACCAAGGCAATAGAAAAGGAGTAGAATAATCAACCAGACAAACTTGCGATTACAATTGGAAAATTGAATAAATGGTTAATGTCCTTAAACATAAACGAGGCCAAATATTTAACAGTTAAATTGGAATATTGTTCAGGTTGATGTACATTGTTCATTTGAATTTGTTTGCGGTTCCTCATGGAAAATCATCAAATCGATATTCAGTCTTTTCTAATCAGCTTATATGACCCAGTTCGTTGGAGAAAGATGAAAAAGATGAATACCACGATTCATAATCAATTGATTTTCCTTTGCACATGATAAATATCCAGAATGAGAAAGAGAGAGAAAGAGAAGTGGAAAAAAACACCCTGGAAATAAAAAGAAAAAAAATTCATTAGAAAAAGAGAAGAAAAAATTAAAGACCAGAGGATATTTTATAGAATCAAAATTCAAGGACAATATCATGGATATACCAGAATTAAAAACAGAACAGATTAATTGATAGTAACACAAAATTTATAAACACATTAAACTTAAATAGTTAACCAAATAATTAAGATAAACAATCAACCATTTCAATTTCAGTTTCAATTTTAACAAACCTTTTCCAATCTACCGGTTAAAAGCATTTAAGTTTTTCCATTGCAAATCATAGGCAGTGAGTGAAATTACCTTAAAACTAATCATCACCAATTAAATTAACTAGAACAATTTAATAAGAATCTAAATGGGAACAATTTAATTAAGAATCAAAAATCAATCAAAATTCATCATAAATGATCAGCTGTTCATCTGTTGCTTTTTTCTAGTCGCTCATTGGTTAGTTTAAATTTGGCGCTTTTCTTTTGTTGCCTAAAATTTGAACATCGTTAACCCAAAATGTTGACAAATTGTCAATGATAAAGTTGATTAATCTTTTTGTTTTTAAATTGTTTCTATTTGATTGTTGAGAGAAAATTTTAATTTAATGAGAACTAACGAGTTTCCAATGGTCGGTGTTACGTAAGATTCACTATGAAGGTTAGTCTCTTGTCTTTTGTTTGTATTGATTTTCTTTTTCTTTTTTCCATTTGATCAAATTCAAGAAATGAATTAAATTATTTCCAAATCTTTATTGATCTCTGTGTCCTTTTGTTTTTAGGTCTTCCATGTATCATCCAGGTAAATTGTAGGTTAAACTGTGGATAAGTTTTAAATGTTACCTTCAATTTGGTTAGTACATCAATAATTTTTGGGTGTGTTGTTTTCTTGTCTCTTTAGGTGTTTCAATGTGTTCATTTGCTTTAAATTGATTACAGTTTCATTGTTTCGGAATTTGCTCACTTCTTTCTTGGTATTGACGTTCGTCTGAGATTTTAACAAGAGATTATGTTCCTATGAATTCTCAGAAAGAGAGAGAGAGAGAGAGAAAAACCTGCATGGAAAGAGTCAAGTCTACCTTGGATTCATCAAGTCTCTTCAACAAAGCCCAGACCCTAAGCTTATACATGGATTTACCTGTGTGTATGTTTGGTGCCGAAAGAGAAACCGGAATTCCTTGAAGGTGACCTTGATTCTACCAAAATTTTACGTCATTTGGGTTTACAAGAAGAAGAAGAAGAAAATGGATGTTGCAAGATTTTCCTATCAAGGAAGAATCGAAAAGAGTTTGAATTCGAACGAAAGAACAGAAGAAAAGCCGAAACAAGAGGAGAGAAAATGAAAGAATCGCCAGTTACTCAAAATTCAACATTATCCAAGCAAAAGCGAAAAAAAGAAGAAAGTAAAAAAAGAAGAATCAACCGAACGATGATGAGGAGAAATTACTATCAACCACCAAGGAGAAACTGTAATGAGAAAATTCAGCCAGTTAGAAAAAAGAAAGAAGAAGAAGAAAAGATGATTAGAAAAGAGAAAGAAAAAGAAAGAAAAGAAACTGAATTCATGTTCTTATCCAATTGAATGAATTTCGTTATCTTGTATAATCGTTGTAGACTTTTAAGTGAGAATTGCAAGGTAACCCGTTTTTTTATATTCTTTTTCTAGTTTTTCTTTTCTTTTCGCTTTTTTATTTCTCTTTTTATCTCCTTCCTTCTCACTCCATGTCACTTCCTAGTAACCTTGAATTCTAATGTAAAAGCCAATGTTTCTTAGCATAGAAGACCAATGAGCCTGTTATTCCATGTGATTCTAAACACTCACTCAACAACCCAAATGGAATGAGAGAGAAATTGAGAGAGAGAGAAAGTAATTCTTTTCTTCGGTCCATCATCATCTCTCCATCATCAACAACAAAGAATAATTTACTTTCTCTCCTCAACAACAAAATTTTATGTTAATTTTGATTGTGTAGAAAACAAGCAACATGATTAACTTTTCTATGCTCAGTAACCTTGAAATATCACGTCCTTGCCATAGCAAAAACTTGTCTCAAGGTTGTCTTCCGTTTCCGGATCTCAAACACAATTTGATAATAGTTATTATTCACTGAACAGCAAATGATTATCCTCAACGAATTTTTTTTCTTTCTGTCTTTCTAATACTTTTATATACCTGTAGGTGAATCAAGCCTATTTTTATACTCACAATTAGCCTTTTATATGACAAATACACACACGAACTCATGATGGTCAATCAGTTGATTCATTAATCTGACACATTGATTTAATTATGTTGACGAAAAAAAACTTGATATCGTGACTTGGATTAACTTTTGATTTAATCTGAAAATTTTTTTTCTCTCGATTAACTTATTTTCATTTACTCTTCTAGTTGCCAATGGTAATTCTGGAAGTATTGGAATACCTGGAACTCCAGGGATAAATTCACCCACTCCGATTACTGGACAAACACCACCAACATTAACTTATCCCATTGGATTAGGATCAGGAGGAGGAGGAATAGGATTGAATAACAATATAATCAACAACAACAACAATAATAACAATCCATTTACTCCTGGTCCACCAAGTAACTCCGTTAGTTTACCAACAACACCGGTCGCCTCTCCTTCACCGACACCGCGATATCCTCCTAATCATCCTTTAAGTGGATCTAAACATCTTTGCTCAATTTGTGGTGATCGTGCTTCTGGTAAACACTATGGCGTTTACAGGTAATAATCAATGAAAAGAAAACAAAGACAAACAATCAAACCAAGAAAGAGAGAAAGAAAGAGAGAGAGAGAAAGACGATAACGATGACCATTGGTCATTCTGAAGTAAATTATATCCACCGACAGATCATTTGGTAACGGTTCTATGCAACAATGACTCTAAATTTAGTTTAAAAAGAAAACTTTTCAAATATCAAATTAAAACAGTTAATCTTGAAGTAAATAGATCATCAAGAAAAAGACACTGATGAGTATTAGTAGTTTAGGTGAACCCTCTCGATGACCTTTTCTTTTCCAATAACTTGATTTCGTTTTCCGTTTGGTCACTACTCTTTTCTCTCTCATCTCTCATCTTTCTCTCTACTTTCTCTTACCTCCCACACCAACTCCCCTTCTCTCTTTTAAATTATCCCTTTTTTCCTGTGATTAGGATGCGAATGATGATTTAATTTTACTCTTCATGGTCTCTTACATATGATCATCATCATCACCAATTTACTCTCTCTTTCTCTATTAGTTATCACTATTTTTCGCATTACAATGTAGCTTTAATGTCGTTGATGAGTTTTCCCTTCGTTGAATCCATCACTTTGATCAATTGTGAAATAGTCTCAATATAAAGACGACATCACTTCCCGTAGGATAAACACAATTTGTTTTCTACTCTGTTTCCTATTTTCTACTCCACTGATTCCGTTGATCGTCAAAGTCCTTTAGCGTTCATCTTTCACTTTGCTCTTTCAGGTTCTTTCTCTATCAATCGATTTTATAATTATTGAAATGTTAATGAAAAATAATTATTCTAATTGTTATGTATAAACTTGGAACTAATCTAATTTTCATGATCAATTGTTTTTCCCTGCAGTTGCGAAGGTTGTAAGGGTTTCTTCAAAAGGACCGTTCGTAAGGATCTTACATACGCTTGTCGAGAGGAAAAAAATTGTATCATTGACAAGCGACAACGGAATCGATGTCAATATTGTCGATATCAGAAATGTCTCATGATGGGAATGAAACGAGAAGGTAGGTTGACATTATTTAGAAATTAAAATGGTAATTACAATTCATTGTTTCTCTTTTAAAATTAATGATAACTTTCTTTACTCTTACACTTTGCTGGCCTTTATTTAGCTGTCCAAGAGGAGCGACAACGGAATAAGGATAAAAATGATAACGAAGTTGAAAGTACAAGTACAAGTCATAACGATATGCCAATCGAGAGGATCTTGGAAGCGGAACTACGAAGTGAACCTCGAAATGATGATCTTGATCTCAGTGTACGTTTTGTCTTCTAGACAATTTCATCATGAAATTTTTAGAATATTAATCAGGCTAATTGTTACTTTATTCTTTTGATTCCTTAGGATCCAATTACTAATATTTGGCAAGCAGCGGATCGTCAATTGTATCAGCTGATTGAATGGGCCAAACATATACCACATTTTTGTGATCTATCGATTGGAGATCAAATGATTCTATTGAAAAGTGGTTGGAATGAGCTTCTTATCGCTGGTTTCTCACACAGATCGATGAATGTTAAAGATGGAATCGTATTAGCCACCGGTTTGGTGGTACATCGTAATTCAGCCCATCAAGCGGGAGTTGGAGCCATTTTCGATCGAGTATTAACCGAACTAGTTGCCAAGATGAGGGAATTGAAAATGGACCGAACTGAACTTGGCTGTTTAAGATCAATCGTACTTTTCAACCCGGAAGCTAAAAGTCTTAAAGCAACCACACAGGTTGAGCATTTACGTGATAAAATATATGCTGTTCTTGAAGATTATTGTAAAGCCACTTATCCCGATCAAACAGGTCGATTCGCTAAATTGTTACTTCGTTTACCTGCCCTACGATCTATTGGCCTTAAATGTCTCGAACATCTTTTCTTTTTCAAGCTAATAGGAGATACACCTATTGATAAATTTCTTTTACAAATGTTGGAAAATCCCTCCGATCATTAATTTATTTTTCTTTTCTCTCTCTCAATTACGAATATTATAAATATATTACAATTCTTATACATCTAATCCAAAATATATACTTTTAATCACCTTAAATCTCATTATCCATCTTAAATATACACATGAACATAAATACATATTATTATACAAACAAATAAAAGACATAATTTAACATTTCAAATGATTCAATTGATTGGAAATATTTTTCTATTTCAAACATTTAAAACTGAAACAATTAGCCTCAGTTTATGAGTTGACCAAATCTTAATTCTTTAATTGTTATTGAGTACGATACTCGTAACGCCATCTAGCTGGTAATTTAAATTCTATTTCTTGATTAACTTTCTTTGTTCTGGTAAACACTATGGCGTTTACAGGTAATAATCAATGAAAAGAAAACAAAGACAAAGAATCAAACCAAGAAAAAGAAAGGAAATAAGAAAAAGAGAGAGATGAAAATAGAAAGACGATAACAATGACCATTGGTCATTCTGAAGTAAATTATATCCAACGACAGATCATTTGGTAACGGTTCTATGCAACAATGACTCTGAATTTAGTTTAAAATCTTATTAATATGATTTAATATTATTTATACAACAAGAAGAAGGTAAATCTCGATCCGAAAGCAAATGGACCAAGTGCTTAATCTTGAGGGTCATTTGAAGAACTTTTTGAAAACTAGAAATTTTTTAAGCCTACCAGTTATGTTTTATCATTTCTAAGCTTACAGGGTCTAATTCAATTTGCTTTCTGTAAAAAGTTATCTAAAGTAACTGATTTTGTTGAAGCGCGATACCAAAGTTGCTTTGTGATATTATAATTTTTTGACTTCATGACTAGGTTTGAAAAAATTTCTAGTTTTCAAAAAGTTCTTCAAATGACCTTCAAATGCGTTCTATCATAAATAACCTTTATGACCTTGAAATATGACAATTGAGTATCGGTCAAACTTCCATAGACGAAATATGGACTCTATCGGTCAAGTGTTTTTGATTAATCGTGAAAAGAAAGCCAACAAAGTAGCTGAATTGCCCTGTATTATCATCGGCAACTAAAACTGATCTTAATAAGTGCCCAGAATATGAGAATCTTATTCAAAATTTACCGAGAAAAACCAGAAAATCCCGCTTTCCCAAGATCCCGCGGGTTTCGGTTTAGGTTAGGTTAGGTTAGCTCCAACTTTTTCCGTGCTGTTTATTATGCTTTTCGAGTTATTTCCAATAATATCGTGGCTATCGTGGTTAATAATATTGCAATAATAATGATAAATTGTTAGTGGATAGCAAGTGTTATTCGCAAAACACTGAGGTGAATAAGAGTAACTAGGTTAAGTAGATAATGGATAATGAATATTGTGGATAACTATGATTGATTCCGGGTGGTTGATGTTGGTGTTGTTGCTAATGGTTCACATTCTTGGCTAAATGAGGGATGAAAGGAATCGCATTGAACTTTTATGGAAAATATTGGGATGAGACATGATTGAATAGAGAAGATCAGATGACGGTGAAAATGAAAATGAAAATGAGGGTGAAGGGTAAGGGTAAGGTGAGAGGGAAGATGATGAGAATGAGGATGAGGATGATGAAACTTTAGTAAATAAATCAACTTGATCAATCGAAGATCTTATGATGAAGTCGTAACATTGAGCTTAGAATCCTTTCTATTTAAATACGATGTCCATCCAGCGACTCTTATGGTCAATTCCCTCCTTTTCTTTTACGCATGTACTCTTATCATCCCAATTCGTTTTCTTATCTTCCTGTCTTCCTTTCATTTTAGTCTCTCTTCTCTCAAATTTGATTTTTTCGTCCTCCTATTAATCGAATGAAATTTCGGAGATTATTATCATTTGATTAGACGAAAAGATATTAAGATATTATATACATGTAATATATAAGATATTAAGGTATTAAGATGAGCACTTTTACCTTAATTCTTCATAAATTTAAACGGATCGTCCCAATGGTGATGATTATATGTAAGAGTCCATGAAGAGTAAAACTAAATCATCACCATTCGCATTCTCATCACAGGAAAAATTTAAGAGAGAGAGAGAGAGAGGAGTGGATGTGGGAGGTAAGAGAGAGAAAATGGTCATGGTCTCTTACTTATGATCGTCATCATCACCAATTTACTCTCTCTTTCTCTATTGGTATCACTATTTTTCGCATTACAATGTAGCTTTAATGTCGTTGATGAGTTTTCCCTCCGATGAAGGAAAAAAATTGTATCATTGACAAGCGACAACGGAATCGATGTCAATATTGTCGATATCAGAAATGTCTCATGATGGGAATGAAACGAGAAGGTAGGTTGACATTATTTAGAAATTAAAATGGTAATTACAATTCATTGTTTCTCTTTTAAAATTAATGATAACTTTCTTTACTCTTACACTTTGCTGGCCTTTATTTAGCTGTCCAAGAAGAGCGACAACGGAATAAGGATAAAAATGATAACGAAGTTGAAAGTACAAGTACAAGTCATAACGATATGCCAATCGAGAGGATCTTGGAAGCGGAACTACGAAGTGAACCTCGAAATGATGATCTTGATCTCAGTGTAGGTTTCATCTTCTAGACAATTTCATCATGAAATTATTAGAATATTAATCAGGCTAATTGTTACTTTATTCTTTTGATTCCTTAGGATCCAATTACTAATATTTGGCAAGCAGCGGATCGTCAATTGTATCAGCTGATTGAATTAAATTAAATTATATCCACAGAAAGAATATTTGGTAACATTGTAATGCAACGATGACTCTAAAGCTAGTTTAAATTCTTATTAATATGATTTATATTATTTATACAACAAGAAGAAGGTAAATTTTAGTTATTGATATGATTTATTGTTCAATTGTTTGACTAATACAGAAAATATTATAATTTTGTAAAGAAAATGACCAATTGCGATCACCATCATCACTACCACCATCGACATCGGAATGAACATATGCAATTTCATGTATTAGTTTTGATTGATTTACAAAAATAGATTAACTGATCATTGGAACTGGACAAATTTACATCAATTCTTTTTCCGTTTGTTTGATTAAACTCGATTTAAATTATTAATAAATCCTCCAAATGGTCACTTAAGATGTTTATTGTTACAAGCCAGAGACAAAAAGTTTAAATTCAAGAAGAATTGGGTCAAAATGATTAACTTAATGATCTTAATTAATCTCCTTTTTTATTGCTGAAAACCTTTTTATTCAATTAGATGTAAAGCCCTTTGAAGCCCTTCACTTTTATTTAAAGCACCTTGACGGCCAAATAGATCGAGGAAATTGCCGATAAAATCTCTTGACTTCTCTTCCCATATTTGAAGAAATCCATGTTTCTTTTCCTCAAATTTGTCTTTAAGCTCTTCCATTTTGTTTTGTAGGAGAAACTTTTTCTCATTTATAAAGGATACATTCATATCTTTTGCAGAATATCCTCTAGCTAAATTACGGCGAACATAAATATCATAATCCTTAACAATTCTTGCCACTAAATCGCTTGTTGAAACACCTTCGGTTCTATTAGTCGTCAGGAACATCCCTTTCTCTTTGATTAGAGAATAAACATCATCTTGATCGTCGGTTGTGTAAGGAATATCATCATGAGCAACAAAATCAATCTTATTTTCGGCTAAAAACTCCTCAGTAAGAACCCAGGAGCATCTCGAATAACTTCATCGACAAAACAACAGAATCTAACCGCTTCGTAACGTTCATCTTCATTCATGACAGTTTTTCCTTTGAGTGAGTGGGTCATCTCATCATTATTGACACCAACAATCAACCAAACATCAGGGAAGCCATTTTTGGCTTGTTTCAATTGTTTAGCATGTCCCAAATGGAATAGATCGAAAATGCCATCAGCATATACACGAACTCTCCTCGGCGCTTTACCAGTTTTAGCTGTTTCCATGGTGATTTTAATCGAATAATCACAGGCATTACGTTCTGCAATTGCTTCAGCGTCCGTAGAATATGGAGCTTCGTTTGTCGATTGATCTTGTTCTTGGGATGTTTCTCCTTCTTTTGTTGGTGTTGTCGGTTGTTGTATTCCGTCTGGAGTATTAGTATTAGATGATGATGAAGATGAAGAGGATGAAGATGATGATTCGGCTCGTTGAACATTAAATTTACACTCTTGAGATTGAGATTGAGATTGAGTCTTGGATCGACCAATCGATTGGCTTGGTTGGAATGGAGCAATTGGAGCAATTGGATCAGAAGAAATCTCCATTTCTTCAGTCGGTGGACTGGGAGTCGGTGGTTCTCGAGATGAATTTGATGGAGATGAGAAAGAAGTGCCTGATTGTGGAGTTGATGATGGCGATGAATTAGTAAATGGTGAATTAGTAGATGTTAAATCCAATGGAATCTCACAAGTTATCACTTGATGGTGATGCTGATGATTCACATTCTTAGCTAAATGAGGGATAAAAGGAATCGCATTGAACTTTTTATGGAAAATATTGGGATGAGACATGATGGAATAGAGAAGATCAGATGAAGGTGAAGATGAAAATGAAAATAAAGGTGAAGGTTAAGGTGAGAGGGAAGATGATGAGAATGAGAATGAGAATGAGGATGATGAAACTTTAGTAAATAAATCAACTTGATCAATCGAAGATCTTATGATGAAGTCGTAACATTGAGCTTAGAATCCTTTCTATTTAAATACGATGTCCATCCAGCGACTCTTATGGTCAATTCCCTCCTTTTCTTTTACGCATGTACTCTTATCATCCCAATTCGTTTTCTTATCTTCCTGTCTTCCTTTCATTTTAGTCTCTCTTCTCTCAAATTTGATTTTTTCGTCCTCCTATTAATCGAATGAAATTTCGGAGATTATTATCATTTGATTAGACGAAAAGATATTTTCAGTCATAGAAAATGAGATTAACTAAGATAATTAAGATAATCACTTTTACGATAATTCTTCATGAATTTAAACGGTTTGTCTTGAGTTTGTAACAATAAACATCTTAAACTGAGCATTTAAAAGAAATTCAATATTATAAGCAAAAGAAAAAGAGTTGACACAAACGTTGACGTTGTCCAGTTCCAATGGTCAGTTGATCTTTTTTTTGTAAATCAATCACAAATTGAGCAACGATGTTTAGATCTACTTCATAAATTAAAACGATCTCTTTAGTTATGATCAGTAAAACCTTCAATTTACTAACCATCTAAATGAGCAGAAAGTTAATTATGAAATAGAATCTAAATTACCAGCTAGATGGCGTTACGAGTATCTTATTCAATCAGTATTCTTTAAAGAAACCCTTACAAACTTCACAACTGAAGGGAAAAACAATTGATCATGAAAATTAGATTAGTTCCAAGTTTATACATAACAATTAGAATAATTATTTTCATTAACATCTCAATAATTATAAAATCGATTGATAGAGAAAGAACCTGAAAGAGCAAAGTGAAAGATGAACGCTAAAGGACTTTGACGATCAACGGAATCAGTGGAGTAGAAAATAGGAACCAGAGTAGAAAACAAATTGTGTTTATCCTACGGGAAGTGATGTCGTCTTTATATTGAGACTATTTCACAATTGATCAAAGTGATGGATTCACCGGAGGGAAAACTCATCAACGACATTAAAGCTACATTGTAATGCGAAAAATAGTGATAACTAATAGAGAAAGAGAGAATAAATTGGGATGATGATCATCATATGTAAGAGACCATGAAGAGTAAAACTAAATCATCATTCGCATCCTAATCGCAGGAAAAAAGGGAAAATTTAAAAAAGAGAGGGGGAGGAGTGAGTGTGGGAGGTAAGAGAGAGAGAGAGTAGAAAGAAAGAAAGATGAGAGATGAGAGAGAAGAGAGAAAAGAGTAGTGACCAAACGGAAAAGCGAAATTAAGTTACCCTTGTGATTATTGGAATAGAAAAGGTCATCGAGAGGGTTCACCTAAACTACTAATAACATTTACTAATCATTAGCTGATCATCAACATCATCATCTTAATCTTCATCTCCATCTCTTCATCTCCATAATCATCAGTGTCTTTTTCTTGATGATCCATTTACTTCAAGTTTAACTGTTTTAATTTGATATTTGAAAAGTTTTCATTTTAAACCAATTGTTCAGAACCGTTACCAAATGATCTGTCGGTGGATATAATTCAAGTCAATTCATATACTCTTGTCGATGTTTTTTAGATATTCTCGGCAACCATTAGTCCTAGAGACTTGAATAGGTTAAGTTAGACCATTGACCATGAAGGTAGCTCATGCTAGCACCTTCATAAGACCTTGAAACGCAATTTTATGCTAATAAGCTCGACCTTTTAACATGACAAATATGTATCGGTCAAACTACCACTATCCAAGTCCACCTTGGATTCATCGAGTCTCTCCAACAAAGATCAGACCCTAATTTGCATATCCATGTACTACAAGTAGGTACATTAGATGATTAGAAAAAAGAAAGAAAAAGAAACTGAATTCATGTTCTTGTCCAATTGAATGAATTTCGTTATCTTGTATAATCGTTGTAGACTCTAAGCGAGAATTGCAAGGTAACCCGTTTTTTTATATTCTTTTTCTTTTCGCTTTTTTATTTCTCTTTTTATCTCCTTCCTTCTCACTCCATGTCACTTCCTAGTAACCTTGAATTCTAATGTAAAAGCCAATGTTTCTTAGCACAGAAGACCAATGAGCCTGTTATTCCATGTGATTCTAAACACTCACTCAACAACCCAAATGGAATGAGAGAGAGAAAAAGTAACTCTTTTCTTCGGTCCATCATCCAAAACATGCATCTAAAGCTTCGAGCGAAAGTATTGGGAAAAGTTTCTAAATTACATTTTAAATTGTTCTAAATTAACATGATTAGTGTAGAAATTGAATCTATGAGAAATCACAAGCTCACTCTTTGATTATGTGTTAAAAGAGTTTTAGTAAAGTTGAATTTAGAATAATTTACTTTCTCTACTCAACTCTTACTACAAAACTTCGATTGTGTAGAAAACAAGTTCAACTTATTTTCATTTACTCTTCTAGTTGCCAATGGTAATTCTGGAAGTATTGGAATACCTGGAACTCCAGGGATAAATTCACCCACTCCGATTACTGGACAAACACCACCAACGTTAACTTATCCCATTGGATTAGGATCAGGAGGAGGAGGAATAGGATTGAATAACAATATAATCAACAACAACAACAATAATAACAATCCATTTACTCCTGGTCCACCAAGTAACTCCGTTAGTTTACCAACAACACCGGTCGCCTCTCCTTCACCGACACCGCGATATCCTCCTAATCATCCTTTAAGTGGATCTAAACATCTTTGCTCAATTTGTGGTGATCGTGCTTCTGGTAAACACTATGGCGTTTACAGGTAATAATCAATGAAAAGAAAACAAAGACAAACAATCAAACCAAGAAAGAGAGAAAGAAAGAGAGAGAGAGAAAGAGAGAAAGACGATAACGATGACCATTGGTCATTCTGAAGTAAATTATATCCACCGACAGATCATTTGGTAACGGTTCTATGCAACAATGACTCTAAATTTAGTTTAAAAAGAAAACTTTTCAAATATCAAATTAAAACAGTTAAACTTGAAGTAAATGGATCATCAAGAAAAAGACACTGATGATTATGAAGATGAAGATTAAGATGATGATGATGTTGATGATCAGCTAATGATTAGTAAATGTTATTAGTAGTTTAGGTGAACCCTCTCGATGACCTTTTCTATTCCAATAATCACAAGGGTAACTTAATTTCGCTTTTCCGTTTGGTCACTACTCTTTTCTCTCTCATCTCTCTCTTACCTCCCACACCAACTCCCCTTCTCTCTCTCTTTCCTTTTTTTCCCTGTGATGAGGATGCGAATGATGATGATTTCGTTTTACTCTTCATGGTCTCTTACATATGATGATCATCACCAATTTAGTACAACTACTTTTCATACATTGTATGTGGTCATTCATTACATTGAATATCCGTTCAAAAGTTACATCCCTCATCCTATACCATTTGTTATAGTAATGGTCAAGCATCCTGAGACTACATAATAATATATAACATCATTAACATTAACCAATCAAAAGCGAACCTCGATTGTTATCCAACTGACCAATGAAACAATCATAAAAGATTTTATCAAATAGTTTCTGATAACTATCAACATAGTTATGATTTTCTCTGAAAAAGTTTTAATTATCTTCATTTGTTATGGTCATCATAGTAAACTCTTCGTGTTTACTTTATGGATTAGTCTGGTCAGTTTGGAAGAGAAGAGAAAAAAAAGTGAAAAGAACAAAAGAAAAAATTTCGAAAACAGAAAGTGACCATTACCATATGTAATTTTATGAATTCTTATGATAATTATTGCCTTTGATTGTTAAAATAGATTAGCAAACAGCGAGTGACCAAATGGTCAAGGGAACCGAAAGATTGACCATCAGCTGAACCCTTTTTCCACTTGAATATCAACTGATAACTGACCAGTAAGTTGCTATGTCCATCTCATCATAATTTTCCCCTTGAAATTTGAAACGAAATTTTTTTTCTAAAAATTATTATAGAGTAAAAAAAGAAACTTTTAATTATCGTTAATTATTAAACAAATATTAATTTTCCTCCTTTCCATTGATTAAACAATTGAATTGATAACATTAAATGTTAAAAAAACTCCAATTAATTATTAGTTTACTAAAATAAACAATTTAATGTTTGCAGATAACATTGATCACCATGACAATTAACTGATTAACTTGTTAACTAATTGATTTAATTTTCCTTCCATGTGATTAGGAAGCGGTAACACTTACAAAGGGCAAATAATTATGAAAGATTTAATCAAATTACCAACAATTAACCATTGAACTTTGTACTATTTTCATACAATTAACTGGCCAGTTTATCTTGATTATCGACGATTTATTAATAATAAATATCCTTGATTATAAGTTTCTGAGTAATTGGAAAGGTCAGAAAAGTTGTTTGACCATCATGATGATAAGATTATAACTGTGAAGAATTGAATCATTTTCTTGACCAAAGGTCATCTATTACTCTAGATAACTACGATATCTAATTGGACAATAATTCTTGATGATTGAGATGGACAATTGGTGGACATCTAGAGATGAACATAGTCTATTAATTGTACTGGCCGTGTTATTGAAGGTAATCAATTGATAAATCGAATTAATTGATTGATCCGTGAAATTAATTGATAACATTTAATTACATATGAAAAACTTTTAAACCAGAAAAGGATTAAAAATGAAAAAGGATTAGTGATACAATTTAAGTGTCCAAACACATGTAACATATGGTTTACTCAATTGGAGAGCTAAAAATAGTCTAATTCTCTCTCTCTCTCTCAATGGGTTAATTAGAATTGGTCAAGTTGGTGCAACATGAAACGGATGACCAACGACTGCAAGTATCATGAATATAATGATGGCATTGATGAGACAAAAGGGTTGAGTAAAAAGCGGTAAAGATGAAAATTTTTACTTTTGTTTCGTTTTGATGGTGAATCGAAATAGAAAATCCCTTGAGGGTAAAAAGGAAAAGAGAGAGAATGAGAGAATAAGAAAGATGATAAAGATACTGATGATTATGACGACGATGATGATGATGATGAAAGAGAAATAGAAATGGTTATGACCAGTTGTGTGAGAATGAGAGAGAAAAAAGAGAAAAGAAGAAGAAGAAGAAAAAAGTATTACATTGGATTTTAAGAAGGGTTGATGTTTAGCTTTGTCCATTTTCGATGGTCAAGCCCTTCGTTTTCTCTCTCTCTCTCTCTTCTCCTTCTCCTTGTTACTCTATTTTAGGCAATATTTAAGTGAATAATCTTCCATCATCTCATCTCACCTCATCTTCCTTCCTCTTATTTCCTTTTCTTCTTCTTCTTCTTCTTCTTCTTCTTCTTCTCCCCAACTGGCTCAACTCCTTTCCAAGTTTCTTGGTACTTAAAATAGTCTTTGTAACAGGTTTCTAATACCTAACTGACCTTCGGTCAGTTTTCAAGATGATGAGTTAACCTTAAAACATTTTCTTCCTCCTCCTCATCTACTTTTTCCTTTCTTTTCTCTCTCTCTTTTACCCTTATCCATATTCTAAACTCCCATTATTTAGCTCCAATTGTCTATTCTCATCTTCTCTTTTTCTCTTCTTCGAATGATAAATAAACTGTTGATTATTTTCATTCTTCTATTATTTTCTCTTTATCAATGTAACATTATTTTCCTATAACAACAATCGACCCACAAACATAATAATACATAATAAATACGAACACAAGAAATTAACATTATCCAATCCAAAGAGACTCTTTGGTCATGTGGTTACTGTTTGTTAGCCAATAAGACCTAAAGTTATATAATCAAAGAATCTATAATATCACTGATTTCACATGATGAGAATCCCTATTAGATTGAAATCTTTTAGAATTCAAGAAAGTGTCACATCCATAACCCTTTATTTGAGAAATGATCTTGAAAAGGTTAAAATGTCAAAGGAAATTTAAAATCTTATTAATATGATTTACTATTATTTATACAAGAAGAAGGTAAATTTTAGTTATTGATATGATTTATTGTTCAATTGTTTGACTAATACAGAAAATATTATAATCTTGTAAAGAAAATGACCAATGGCGATCACCACCACCATCGACATCGACATCGGAATAAACATATGCAATTTCATGTATTCGTTTTGATTGATTTACAAAAATAGATTAACTGACCATTGGAACTGGAAAAATTTACATCAATTCTTTTTCCGTTTGTTGATAAAACTTGATTTAAATTGAATTTTCCAAATGGTCAGATAAGATGTTTATTGTTACAAGCCAGAGACAAAAAGTTTAAATTCAAGAAGAATTAAGTTCAAAGTGATCAGCTTAATGATCTTAATTAATCTCCTTTTTTATTGCTGAAAATATCTTTTTATTCAATTAGAAGATCATTGATAATCTCCAAAATTTCATTCAATTAATAAAAGAGGGCGAAAAAGCAAATTATCCTCATCACTTTTTCCATAAAGAGAAAGAAAGTCGATCACTTTGTTTTCGATAAATTCAAATTCCCACCGAATGTACAATCCATCGCTTGATATAAATTGTATCGCTCAGGATCTCGATCCGAAAGCAAATGGACCAAGTGTTTAATCTCGAGGGTCAACGCAGCATTTTGCACATGAAGAGCTTCCAATTCTTTGGTCAGTTTTCCGATTAACTTTTCGTTTTCCAATTGTTTCTTTTTCAATTTGTCGCGAGACTTTTTCGCCGATTCGTTATTCTTTTCTCGCCTTTTCCAATAGTTTTCGTCCTTCAGATGAGCCGGTGTGGGTTCACCTTTCTTTTTACGGCCATTCGATTGAGTCGCTTCGTTTGTCGATTGATCTTGTTCTTGGGATGTTTCTCCTTCTTTTGTTGGTGTTGTCGGTTGTTGTATTCCGTCTGGAGTATTAGATGATGATGAAGATGAAGAGGATGAAGATGATGATTCTCCTTGTTGAACATTAAATTTATCCTCTTGAGATTGAGATTGGTTCAAGGACTGAGACTGAGATTGAGATTGAGTCTTGGACTGGGAACTGATTCGAGATCGAGATCGACCCTTGGATCGACCAATCGATTGGCTTGGTTGGAATGGAGCAATTGGAGCAATTGGATCAGAAGAAATCTCCATTTCTTCAGTCGGTGGACTGGGAGTCGGTGGTTCTCGAGATGAATTTGATGGAGATGAGAAAGAAGTGCCTGATTGTGGAGTTGATGATGGCGATGAATTAGTAAATGGTGAATTAGTAGATGTTAAATCCAATGGAATCTCACAAGTTATCACTTGATGGTGATGCTGATGATTCACATTCTTAGCTAAATGAGGGATAAAAGGAATTGCATTGAACTTTTTATGGAAAATATTGGGATGAGACATGATTGAATAGAGAAGATCAGATGAAGGTGAAGATAGAAATGAAAATGAAAATAAAGGTGAAGGTTAAGGTGAGAATGAGGATGAGGATGATGAAACTTTAGTAAATAAATCAACTTGATCAATCGAAAATCTTATGATGAAGCTGTAACATTGAGCTTAGAATCCTTTCTATTTAAATACGATGTCCATCCAGCGACTCTTATGGTCAATTCCCTCCTTTTCTTTTACGCATGTACTCTTATCATCCCAATTCGTTTTCTTATCTTCCTTTCATTTTAGTCTCTCTCTCTATTTCTTTCTCTCTCTTTCTCTGTCTCTACCTTTTTCCTTTAAACGAATCAACAAGTTGTTGTTATATTAGTTGTTCGATTTCGATATCATCATGTTTTCATCTTGGATCATCGATTCTCTCCAATATTATCGAAGCATTTTTTCTATATTCATCACAATTACCTCAACTACACTTCTCACAGCAAAGAGTCAAAAGTAAGCTCCTTCATAATCTTTCTTTCTCCCTCTCCTTCTCTCATATTTACTATCATCAGACTTTTCCATCAATCGAGTGATTATTTAATCATATCAATTGAAAGTTTTACTCAATTTACATTTCATTTCATTTCCACTCTTTGTTTACTTTCATTCATTATAATGAAGATGAGAAAGGCCAAGGGTGAGGGTGAGGGTGGATTTAGATGAAGGGTCATGATGATGATAATAATGACCAACACTTTAATAGATATTAGATTGATTCTCATTGGTCATTCTCATCATAATAGGATCACCACCTCCTCTTAATTTTATTACTGGAAAATTAATCAACCATCATTAGCAAATGTAAATAGATTTAAGCTCGATGAAGTTTCCTTATGTCCATAATTATTGACCTTGGGAGGAAATTGATTTGAGTGAAAAATTTCATCAAGAGGATTATTTTTATCTGAATACATCACAGCATTTAGATAGCAATAATTTTACAAATCGTTCTTGAGAACATTGAAACTTTTCAAATTCATAAGCGAAACAAATATTGCCTAGAAACTCGTGGTTTCCATCAATGATTACAATATATGAGCTATTGATGGTAATCAATTAATCAATCTAATTAATTGATTGATCCGTGAAATTAATTGATAACATTTCAATTACATATGAAAAACTTTTAAACCAGAAAAGGATTAAAGATGAAAAAGGATTAGTGATACAATTTAAGTGTCCAAACACATGTAACATATGGTTTACTCAATTGGAGAGCTAAAAATAGTCTAATTCTCTCTCAATGGTTTAATTAGAATTGGTCAAGTTGGTGCAACATGAAACGGATGACCAACGACTGTGAGTATCATGAATATAATGATGGCGATGATGAGACAAAAGGATTGAGTAAAAAGCGGTAAAGATGAAAATTTTTACTTTTGTTTCGTTTTGATGGTGAATCGAAATAGAAAATCCCTTGAGGGTAAAAAGGAAAAAGAAAGAGAATGAGAATGAGAGAATAAGAAAGATGATAAAGATACTGATGATTATGACGACGATGATGATGATGATGAAAAGAGAAATAGAAATGGTTATGACCAGTTGTGTGAGAATGAGAGAGAAAAAAGAGAAAAGAAGAAGAAGAAGAAAAAGTATTACATTGGATTTTAAGAAGGGTTGATGTTTAGCTTTGTCCATTTTCGATGGTCAAGCCCTTCGTTTTCTCTCTCTCTCTCTCTCTCTCTTTCTCCTTCTCCTTGTTACTCTATTTTAGGCAATATTTAAGTGAATAATCTTCCATCATCTCATCTCACCTCATCTTCCTTCCTCTTATTTCCTTTTCTTCTTCTTCTTCTTCTTCTTCTTCTTCTCTCCAACTGACTCGAAATCCTTTCCAAGTTTCTTGGTACTTAAAATAGTCTTTGTAACAGGTTTCTAATACCTAACTGACCTTCGGTCAGTTTTCAAGATGATGAGTTAACCTTAAAACATTTTCTTCCTCCTCCTCATCTACTTTTTCCTTTCTTTTCTCTTTTTCTCTCTCTTTACCCTTATCCATATTCTAAACTCCCATTATTTATCTCCAATTGTCTATTCTCATCTTCTCTTTCTTCTTCGAATGATAAATAAACTGTTGATTATTTTCATTCTTCTATTATTTTCTCTTTATCAATGTAACATTATTTTTCTATAACAACAATCGACCCACAAACATAATAATACATAATAAATACGAACACAAGAAATTAACATTATCCAATCCAAAGAGACTCTTTGGTCATAAAATTGTAACTAAATAGACCAATGAACATTCATGTTTCCGTAATAAATCATGAAGAATTGACTGCTAATTAAAGTACTTTCTAGCTTCAACTATTCATCTAATAAAATGTAATAATATAAACTTTGAATCTTTTTGATTTCCATAAAAATCATAAATGTTCAAATGGAAAAAAAACTTAAGTTAATATTTGAAATTCGAAAAAAAGATGATAAATAAATAAATCAAACCGATAACTTCCCATAATCAATATGTAACTTGACTGGTCAGTGATGGAAGAGAAACGGAAAAAAGAGTTCGAAATGAAAGTGACCATATGCAATTATTAATATTACCGATGTTGATTATTGCCTAAATTTAGATCAGCAAACTAACAATATAATAAAGAGTTGACCAAATGGACAAAAGCAAAAGCTACTCTCTCACACACTCATCACTTATCATAACCACTTTGATCCTTCATCATCTTTTTTTTTGCTTGACCCTTTGCGATTTTACAACAACAAAAAATAAAAGAAAATAGTAAATGTCCAAATTTGGTCTTCTAACTCTTCATAATCATCATCCTCATCATCATCATCTTTCCACCTCCTCCTCTTACTCCTTCTTTCCTCTTCTTCTTCCTCCTCTCATTGTCCATCTTGTTTTTCTTCTCGTTTTCTTGTTGACCATTTCAAATAGTAAACTTTGTCCAGTAACAAACAATTTTTCATAATTCATATTCAATATTATGTGCATGTGGTAATGGAAAAAAAGTGATAACAAAAGGATGAGGAAGAAGAAGATGAAAAAAAAGAGAAGATGAAAAAGAAAAATGGAAATTGTAGTTTTCTTTTGCAAGACCCAAAGGGTCAAGCGAGAAAGATGATGAAGGATAAAAGTAGTTATGATTAGTGAGATGAGAGAGAAAAGAGTTTAGGCAAAAATAGAAGGAAATTGGAAGGGTTATTATGTTTGTCCGGTTCCATCGGTCAGTTGCTCTTCTATATTATTGTAGTTCGCTAGTTAGTTAATCTATTTTTGTCCATTAACAATGTAAATCAATCAAAATGAATTAGAATAATATTGCGAATACATAGAGTTCCCCATATGACACTGGTCAGTTTCTTTTAAATTTCATAATAAATTTAACCTTGAGGGTCATTTTATTCTGCCGGACAATTGTTTCCACTGTTTGAAAACTCGCAAGTCTAGTTGATGGTAAAAGAAAACGGCTCAAAGTTTGGTTGACATTTAAATCAATTTTTAAGATGGATTAAGCTTAGACTGGATTATATTAATTTCTAGCATTAATTAGCCCTAAAGCGATTGAATACTATTAATAGTGTTCCAGTAATTTAAACAGTTCCAACTAATTAATCAGCCTGAAGATATAATTATATTGAGAGAATTTTCTATCAATCAATTTCTAGGAATGATTAGTAATTTATTAGTGCGATACTAATTTAAGAATGAAAATGTAAACACAAATTCAATTGCTGGTTGATTAATTTTCCAGTAATAAAATTAAGAGGAGGTGGTGATCCTATTATGATGAGAATGACCAATGAGAATCAATCTAATATCTATTAAAGTGTTGGTCATTATTATCATCATCATGACCCTTCATCTAAATCCACCCTCACCCTCACCCTTGGCCTTTCTCATCTTCATTATAATGAATGAAAGTAAACAAAGAGTGAAATGAAATGAAATGTAAATTGAGTAAAACTTTCAATTGATATGATTAAATAATCACTCGATTGATGAAAAAGTCTGATGTTAGTAAATATGAGAGAAGGAAGAGAGAGAGATGATGAAGTAGCTTACTTTTGACTCTTTGGTGAGAGGGGCAGTAGAAGTAATTGTGACGAATATAGAAAAAGAGTATCGATAATATTGAAGAGAATCGATGATCCAAGATGAAAACATGATGATATCGAAATCGAACATCTAATATAACAACAACTTGTTGATCTGTTTAAAGGAAAAGAGAGAGAAAAAGAAAGGAGAGAAGAGAGAAGAGAGACTAAAATGAAAGGAAGACAGGAAGATAAGAAAACGAATTGGGATGATAAGAGTACATGCGTAAAAGAAAAGGAGGGAATTGACCATAAGAGTCGCTGGATGGACATCGTATTTAAATAGAAAGGATTCTAAGCTCAATGTTACGCTTCATCATAAGATCTTCGATTGATCAAGTTGATTTATTTACTAAAGTTTCATCATCCTCATCCTCATTCTCACCTTAACCTTCACCTTTATTTTCATTTTCATTTTCATCTTCACCTTCATCTGATCTTCTCTATTCAATCATGTCTCATCCCAATATTTTCCATAAAAAGTTCAATGCGATTCCTTTTATCCCTCATTTAGCTAAGAATGTGAATCATCAGCATCACCATCAAGTGATAACTTGTGAGATTCCATTGGATTTAACATCTACTAATTCACCATTTACTAATTCATCGCCATCATCAACTCCACAATCAGGCACTTCTTTCTCATCTCCATCAAATTCATCTCGAGAACCACCGACTCCCAGTCCACCGACTGAAGAAATGGAGATTTCTTCTGATCCAATTGCTCCAATTGCTCCATTCCAACCAAGCCAATCGAATGGTCGTTCCAAGGGTCGATCTCGATCTCGAATCAGTTCCCAGTCCAAGACTCAATCTCAATCTCAAGAGTGTAAATTTAATGTTCAACAAGGAGAATCATCATCTTCATCCTCTTCATCTTCATCATCATCTAATACTAATACTCCAGACGGAATACAACAACCAACAACACCAACAAAAGAAGGAGAAACATCCCAAGAACAAGATCAATCAACAAACGAAGCGACTCAATCGAATGGCCGTAAAAAGAAAGGTGAACCAACACCGGCTCATCTGAAGGACGAAAACTATTGGAAAAGACGAGAAAAGAATAACGAATCGGCGAAAAAGTCTCGCGACAAATTGAAAAAGAAACAATTGGAAAACGAAAAGTTAATCGGAAAACTGACCAAAGAATTGGAAGCTCTTCATGTGCAAAATGCTGCGTTGACCCTCGAGATTAAACACTTGGTCCATTTGCTTTCGGATCGAGATCCTGAGCGATACAATTTATATCAAGCGATGGATTGTACATTCGGTGGGAATTTGAATTTATCGAAAACAAAGTGATCGACTTTCTTTCTCTTTATGGAAAAGATGATTAGAGATAATCAATAGAATAATATTTTCGAATTAATCGAGATTATTAATTATCATCTAATTGAATAAAAAGATTTTCAGCAATAAAAAAGGAGATTAATTAAGATCATTAAGCTGATCACTTTGAACTTAATTCTTCTTGAATTTAAACTTTTTGTCTCTGGCTTGTAACAATAAACATCTTAAGTGACCATTTGGAGGATTTATTAATAATTTGTATCGAAGTTTAATCAAACAAACGGAAAAAGAATTGATGTAAATTTGTCCAGTTCCAATGGTCAGTTAATCTATTTTTGTAAATCAATCAAAACGAATACATGAAATTGCATATGTTCATTCCGATGTCGATGTCGATGGTGGTGGTGATGATGGTGATCGCCATTGGTCATTTTCTTTACAAAATTATAATATTTTCTGTATTAGTCAAACAATTGAACAATAAATCATATCAATAACTAAAATTTACCTTCTTCTTGTTGTATAAATAATAGTAAATCATATTAATAAGATTTTAAATTTCCTTTGACATTTTAACCTTTTCAAGATCATTTCTCAAATAAAGGGTTATGGATGTGACACTTTCTTGAATTCTAAGAGATTTAAATCCAAAAGGGATTCTCATTATGTGATATCAATGATATTATAGTTTCTATGATTATATAACTTTAGGTCTCATTGGCTAACAAACAGTAACCACATGACCAAAGAGTCTCTTTGGATTGGATAATGTTAATTTCCTGTGTTCGTAGTTATTATGTATTATTATGCTTGTAGGTCGATTGTTGTTATAGGAAAATAATGTTACATTGATAAAGAGAAAATAATAGAAGAATGAAAATAATCAACAGTTTATTTATCATTCGAAGAAGAGAAAAAAGAGAAGATGAGAATAGACAATTGGAGATAAATAATGGGAGTTTAGAATATGGATAGAGAGAGAGAAAGAGAGAGAAAAAGAGAGAGAGAGAAAGAAAGGAAAAAGTAGATGAGGAGGAGGAAGAAAATGTTTTAAGGTTAACTCATCATCTTGAAAACTGACCGAAGGTCAGTTAGGTATTAGAAACCTGTTACAAAGACTATTTTAAGTACCAAGAAACTTGGAAAGGATTTCGAGTCAGTTGGAGAGAAGAAGAAGAAGAAAAGGAAATAAGAGGAAGGAAGATGAGGTGAGATGAGATGATGGAAGATTATTCACTTAAATATTGCCTAAAATAGAGTAACAAGGAGAAGGAGAAAGAGAGAAAGAGAGAAAAAACGAAGGGCTTGACCATCGAAAATGGACAAAGCTAAACATCAACCCTTCTTAAAATGTAATACTTTTTTCTTCTTCTTCTTCTTTTCTATTTTTTCTCTCTCATTCTCACACAACTGGTCATAACCATTTCTATTTCTCTTTTCATCATCATCATCATCGTCATCATAATCATCAGTATCTTTATCATCTTTCTTATTCTCTTATTCTCTTACTTTTCCATTTTACCCTCAAGGGATTTTCTATTTCGATTCACCATCAAAACGAAACAAAAGTAAAATTTTCATCTTTACCGCTTTTACTCAACCCTTTTGTCTCATCATCGCCATCATTATATTCATGATACTCGCAGTCGTTGGTCATCCGTTTCATGTTGCACAAACTTGACCAATTCTAATTAACCCATCGAGAAAGAGAAAGAGAGACTATTTTTAGCTCTCCAATTGAGTAAACCATATGTTACATGTGTTTGGACACTTAAATTGTATCACTAATCCTTTTTCATCTTTAATCCTTTTCTGGTTTAAAAATTTTTCATATGTAATTGAAATGTTATCAATTAATTTCACGGATCAATCAATTAATTAGATTTATCAATTGATTACCTGCAATAGCACGCCCAGTACAATTAATAGACTATGTTCATCTCTAGATGTCCATCAATTGTCCATCTCAATCATCAAGAATTATTGTCCAATTAGATATCGTAGTTATCTAGAGTAATAGATGACCTTTGGTCAAGAAAATGATTCAATTCTTCACAGTTATAATCTTATCTCTCATCATGATGGTCAAACAACTTTTCTGACCTTTCCAATTACTCAGAAACTTATAATCAAGGATATTATTTATTAATAAATCGTCGATAATCAAGATAAACTGGCCAGTTAATTGTGTGAAAATGGTACAAAGTTCAATGGTTAATTGTTGGTAATTTGATTAAATCTTTCATAATTATTTGCCCTTTGTAAGTGTTACCGCTTACTAATCACATGGAAGGAAAATTAAATCAATTTAATCAATTAGTTAACAAGTTAATCAGTTAATTGTCATGGTGATCAATGTTATCTGCAGACATTAAATTGTTTACTTTAGTAAATTAAAATTAATTGGAGTTTTTTGCACATTTAATGTTATCAATTCAAATTGTTGATCGAGCTAAAATTTGCAGTTAAGATTAAGAGAGTTAATTGTTGAGTCAATAACTGTTTGTCTTTCTAAGTTGATTGTTTATAATGAGGATATTATGGTTTCACTTTGACTGACAATTAAGCTTTTTTCAGTGTCTTGACTGATTTAAGGATTAGAATTAGAAAAATTAATTCATTAATCTTTGTCTTTCAAATATTTTGCAGTAATTAATTTATTTATCAACCAAACGTTTGATTGTTAATCACAATTTGTTTTTTCAATCAAATAAGAAACAAAATTAACAATTAATTGCGTAGATTCAATTAGTCAATCAATCAATTAGATTGTTTCAAAATATTATTGTTAAGTAACACAACCAGTAAGAGTAATTAAATTGATATGAATTCAAATTTGTTGGAAATTAATTGTCATCAAAATTATTGGAAATCATTTGAATTATTATCATTTAAGTTGATCAATAAGTTTAAATATCAACATTGGAATGAGATGAAAACGTCAACATGATTTAAAAGACAATTTATATTCACATGGGCTGAAAAACGGTGACAATTAGTTAATTGTTGACGAAAATTTGTTCGAAAAGACCAGAGAAAGAGAGGGAGAAAGAAAGAGACGATGACCATTGGTCATTCTTAGTATATTCATTAACAGATCATTACGGTAACGGTGCTATGCAACAACGACTTTAAATTTAGTTTAGAAAGAAAAACTTTTCAAATATCCAATTTAAATTCAAACTAAACGGATCATCAACAAAATCACACTGATGATTATGATAATCAAGATTAAGATTAAGATGATCAGCTAATGATTAGTAAATGTTATCAGTAGTTTAGGTGAACCCTTTCGGTGACCTTTGCCTTTGACTGAATTTCTCGTTTCCTTTTTGGTTATTTTCTCTCATTTTAGACAATCGATTTGATAATTATTCAGTTAATAATGAATAATTGTTGTTCTAATTGTTGCAGGAACTTGGACTTAGTAATTAGATTCATTCCGTTGGTTGTTGTTTACTAAGAAAATTGTGAAGGTTTTTTTTTGTTTCGAATGTGTTTTGATTATTATGATTGAGATTGTTGATCGTTAACTCCAATGATTAGGAGGAAATTAGGTGAGCAGTTAAGTTGATTGTGGTTGACGTGATATTTGTCTCATTAAAGTTGAAGTGACCTTTTCAGTGGCCGCTTGTAAAATTGTATCAGAATCAGCGAGCGCTTGTTTGGCCAAATATCTTTCCCGTTTGATTTGTACCTCTAATCGTCGAGGTATATCAGGTACAATTGCATCGATAAGTCGAGAGACTGAAAAAACGATATGTTCAAAAATACAAACAAAAGCAAATCGAGCAAACATTAACTTCCAATAAGTGACCGTTAGATGACCATCAGAGTCACGGAAGTCACGATAACGGCAAGATAAGGTTGTGGTATTAGCGGGTGCCCAGGATAAGCTAAAATCGAGATAACCTTCAAGAGAAAAGTTATTATCAAATTGATAGACTAATTTGGGAAGAAAGTCCGAAGTAAATGCAATGAGAAAAGCCTAAAACAAGAAAGAGAAAGAAAAAGACAAATAGACAGATAAAATCTACAATCCAAATGACCAATGGTCAGTCTGAAATTCAACAACTCACATTACTTATGACCGCAATTTGAGCAAGAAAGGTGAGTATTGAAAGCCAAATGCCAATGTTTTGTGCTCTTTCTGGAACAGGTCGTCGAGTTGAGGTGACCAATTTTTGAGCATCCAAACGAATCTCGACCCAATTATTGAGCAGAGCAAAAAAAGGAGCCAAAGGAAAAGCAGCAACAAAAATCGTGATAAAACCAAACTGCAAAACCATTTCAAGATATTCTTCAAATAGACCCTCATAAGGGAGTAAAGAATAATCTTCCTCCCACCGAGTCATTCCCTGTTTTCCACCCTCTCGTCTAGAGGTTATATTGGTTCGCCTTCGATGCCACCATGTTTTCATCTTAGGCCACAGAATCTCTTGGGCATTATTGATAATTTGTTTACCGATCATGATGACTGCAAGTTGCTGAGCCAATTCACCGAGACAACCATTGTTAGAGCACTGGAAACAGAGAGAGAGAGAGAGGCAAAAGGGTTGATTATCATCTTCATCTTCATCATCAGTTAGACTGACAGATAGATAGTGTTTGAAAGTTATTTGATTGTGTTGATTAAGGTTCACTTAATTTTCAACTCAACTATTTATGATAAATGCAATTTCAACTTGATTATTATTACAATTTATTCCTACTCTTTGTTTACATTTTATTTTGGTTGCCAATTATTATGAGGATGAAAATAGTGATTATCATCATCCCTATTATGAGGGATGATGATAAAGGGCCAAGGATAATGGTGATGAGGAAGGAGTTAGAAAGAGGATGGTGATGATAATAATGGTCAACACTTTAATATAATATTAGATTGCATCTCATTGGTCATCCTTCATCACAATAGGATCGCCTCCTCTTAATATAATATTATTGATATTTATTTCTGGGAAAGATGATAAAGAGGATTCTCTCTTTCTCTCTTTCAATCTTCTTTAATGAGGATAACGGGAAAGAGCTAATATATTTGTTCAGTTCCAATGATTGATTTCAACATTTTTGCGAATCAGTATTATAGTTTCTATGATTATATAACTTTAGGTCTCATTGGCTAACAAAAAGTAACCACATGACCAAATGATCTGTTTAGTGGCAATAAGAGAGAGAAATAAGAAAACGAATTCGAATGATAAGAGTACATGCGTAAAAGAGAGGGAATTGACCATAAGAGTCGCTGGACGGACATCGTATTTAAATAGAAAAATTTCTAAGCTCAATGTTATAGATTCATCATCTTCCTTTCACCTTCACCTTCATTTCACCTTCTCTATTCCATCATGTCTCATCCCAATATTTTCCATAAAAAGTTCAATGCGATTCCTTTTATCCCTCATTTAGCTAAGAATGTGAATCATCAGCATCATCATCAAGTGATAACTTGTGAGATTCCATTGGATTTAACATCATTTGCTAATTCATCGCCATCATCAAGTCCACAATCATGCACTTCTTTCTCATCTCCATCAAATTCATCTCGAGAACCACCGACTCTCAGTCCACAAGGAGAATCATCATCATCTAATACTAATACTCCAGACGGAATACAACAACCGACAACACCAAAAGAAGGAGAAACATCCAAGAACAAGATCAATTGACAAACGAAGCGACTCAATCGAATGGCCGTAAAAAGAAAGGTGAACCAACACCTGCTCATCTGAAGGACGAAAACTATTGGAAAAGACGAGAAAAGAATAACGAATCGGCGAAAAGTCTCGCGACAAATTGAAAAAGAAACAATTGGAAAACGAAAAGTTAATCGGAAAACTGACCAAAGAATTGGAAGCTCTTCATGTGCAAAATGCTGCGTTGACCCTCGAGATTAAACACTTGGTCCATTTGCTTTCGGATCGAGATCCTGAGCGATACAATTTATATCAAGCGATGGATTGTACATTCGGTGGGAATTTGAGTTTATCGAAAACAAAGTGATCGAATTTCTCTCTCTTTCCTGGAAAAGGTGATTTGGATAATTTGCTTTTTCGCCCTCTTTTATGAATTGAATGAAATTTTGGAGATTTTCAATGATCTTCTAATTGAATAAAAAGATATTTTCAGCAATAAAAAAGGATCGATGTCGATGGTGGTCAGTTAATCTATTTTTGTAAATCAAATTAAGATCAAATTTAACCTTTTCAAGATCATTTCTCACTTAAAGGGTTATGGATGTGACACTTTTCTGAATTCTGAGAGATTTAAATCCAAAAGAGATTCTCATTATGTGAAATCAGTTATATTATAGATTCTTTGATTATATAACTTTAGGTCTAATTGGCTAACAAACAGTAACCACATGACCAAAGAGTCTCTTTGGATTGGATAATGTTAATTTCCTGTGTTCGTATTTATTATGTATTATTATGTTTGTGGGTCGATTGTTGTTATAGGAAAATAATGTTACATTGATAAAGAGAAAATAATAGAAGAATGAAAATAATCAACAGTTTATTTATCATTCGAAGAAGAGAAAAAAGAGAAGATGAGAATAGACAATTGGAGATAAATAATGGGAGTTTAGAATATGGATAAAGGCAAAGAGAGAAAGAGAGAAAAGAAAGGAAAAGTAGATGAGGAGGAGGAAGAAAATGTTTTAAGGTTAACTCATCATCTTGAAAACTGACCGAAGGTCAGTTAGGTATTAGAAACCTGTTACAAAGACTATTTTAAGTACCAAGAAACTTGGAAAGGAGTTGAGCCAGTTGGAGGAACTAAAGGAAATAAGAGGAAGGAAAATGAGGTGAGATGATGGAAGAGTATTCGCTTAAATATTGCCTAAAATGGACTAACAAAAGACGAAAAAGACGAAGGGTCAACTATCGAAAGTGGACAAACATCAACCCACAAAATCGATTGTTTGCTCTTCTCCTTTCTCATCTTCTCAGAACCGGTAATCATTGTCCTTATTTCTTTTTCCATTATCATCGTCGTAGCCATAAATATCCTAATTATCTCTCTCTTTCTCTTTGTCTTTGTCTTTTTCTCACTCTCATCATCTAAATTACAACTCTTTATTTCGTACGTGTATCTTTTTTGTCTGATTGGTTATTTCAAAGTTAATTTTAATACTTACATTTTCATTTCGAAGACCTAAGATTTGTGAGTAATTACCAGGAGTTCCTACAAATTTACCTTTGAAAAAGGCAATATAAAAGATTGATGAATAATAATTGAAAAATTGAAAGATGAAAACTTTAAATGTCAAATGATTTTCGAACTCGGTTTGAGTTCGATGCATTTCCCATCGGGTCAAGCGGAATGCTAGTTTCTCATAGATTGGACTTAGAAGCATAATAAATACAAGATTCGCAAGTGCCCCAGTTGATGAGGCGATGATCGAAGCCCAACCAGATAGACTTGGATCCATGAAGAGCGGTATGAAACGAGAAGACGATATATTATAACAGCGACCACAAAAATAACAACCAGAGAAAGCTTCGAATTCACAGAAAAGAAAAGAAAATTTTTGAAATAAGTTCAACTCATTAAATCGTTGGTAATGTTTACTTACCATTAACACAATTAGAACCAGTCCAGCGGCCATTCTTTGGTAGCGAATACGAGTCGGGAAACTTGGCTCTTGAATTCCAGTGATTGGATTTCGCTTGATAAACGGAGCTCGAGCGACAAACTCAGGTCGAGATTTTTCTTCCTCTTCGAAAGTCATCACATCCCAATGGTATGCTAACGATGCACTTTTACGTTTCCAATATTCCAGAAAAGTAACAGCTAAAGTTTTCCGTGGATTGAAAATTGTACACGAACACACAGAGAAAGAGAGAGATGAATTGATGGATTAACCAAGAGATTTTAATCTTACCCCAGAAAGAAACAAATATTGCGTAGAAAACGGTCCCTGGCTGATCAAACAGGTAAGATAATTTGGCCAGAAAACAGGTATCACTTAGATTCCAATAGGGACAACCTGGTTCATCACAATTCCGACACATACGATACTTGTCACCACTTTTACAAATCTCATTACTAGAATTAGAAGAGCAGATTTACAATTAGTTGATTTGTCAATTTTATTTCGATTTTTATCAGATTGTCTTGATATTTACGAAACAAGGTCTTGGTTAATTGTTGCAACTCCATACAAGAAAACCAATAAGCCAACAATAGCCGCAGGCAACAACCAGCTTGTATAAAAACCTAAATTAGAAAAGGGTTATTGGTTAATCAGTCGAGTTTATAAAACTTCAATTGAAAGTTAATTGTGATTACCTAACCATGCGAAGTACATTGCAATTTTTTCACCAAAATATTCTTGAACGTGATCAAGAGGCTGATATTTATACCAACATGACCAACGAGCCCAATATTGGTACAAAACTTGTCGCTTATTGAGTTCACTTGGGTCGAGGAAATTGTTTGGACATTTGTAAGATCCTTCGTGTAAGGGAAAAGCTCCGGTGAAAATGTCTTCGTTTAGCATTCGAGCGATACCGATTTGAGCTCTTTTCCGATGACCATAAACGGTAGACTGAAGGATTTCATTGACCAAACGAATTCGCTGCGTGGTTGTGAAAAAAGTGTCCGGTGAATCTGAACCAAGGTAACGATCTAATTTCGATATCTTGAAAGGACAAGTGAAATACTGTAAAGGTTTATTAGGAACGTCGAGATGAAGTGGATTGGGTAGACGAAGTAAACGGAAAATGGACTCAGACCAATCGTAGAATAATGAAGGATAAGCCTGAAGTGGTGAACGGACGTTAAACTTTTCCGCGTATTGGGCCAGAATTGGCCATGGAATCGATATCTTGAAAAAATAAATATTCGGACTTGATTTGGGTTGGAAATTTTCTTCATCGTTCAGCTGATTGTTGTTATTATTGTCACCGTTGTTCGTGGTACTAGTGTCGCCCAAAAGGACTTCCTCCTCGATGAGAAGGCCAATTTTGCGTAGATTGTTGATAAAACGTTCACGATATTTACGATATTTCCGCTCCTTACGAACTCGAACCACCGATTCATCGTGTGTCTCAAAGGTAATTGAATTTCCAGTTGATCGATTTGATTGTTCATAAACTAATATGTAATCTTGGGAATAAGAAAAAGTATAACAATCAATTAATTAGAATTACGATTAAGATTTTACGTTCAAATGATCACGTAATTAACCTCGGTAATAATTGTTTAGATAATTAGTATTATGATTATGAGCTTGATCTTTGAGTACAAATTAATACAATTACGATCACAATCAATATATCAATCTATTGGTAACTGGATTAACCTGATGATCGGTTACAATAGTAATAATAATAAAGCATCATTATGATGATGTATCAAAGTTTCCAAGGTGCCAATCAGTTAATTAACTTGCTAATTAATTATCTATGTAGCTAATTAACTTACCAATTTTACTTTTACCATCTTTGAAATAAGTTGTTTGCTCGTCCAGGAACCGGAAGGGAAGGACACATCCAACATCCGAATCGTTTGAATCAACTCGTCGAACCTGAAATAACAATTTAGCAACATCAAGAATTAAATGATCATTTCCCATAACCAGCAATTAACTTGATTAGAATTAAAAATCAACCATGTTGAAAGTAAAACAAACAATTGTAACACTTGAACACTCAAGAAACTGGAACAATATTAGTTAGTTAATTGTCAGAATATAAAAAAATATCGATGTGATTGTATTGAGTTTTTCTTACGATTAATCAACTAGGAATTAAAGTGAATCAGTTGACAGTAATTAGTTAATTAACAGAGTACATTCAGATTGTTGGTTAACTTTGGAAAAAAATTATCGGGATTGTTTTTTTTGTTCAGGATTAACAAGGATTAAGCTTAGGAGGGGGAGATTAAGGATTAATTACCAATTTATGGTTATAGTGATTAATCAATTTCTTATCCTGAATGTTAATTGTTTCACTTGAACACAATGATAATGATAATGATGATGATGATGGTGATGATAAATTGGTTGTTGTTGTTGATAATGGTGATTGATTTAATCTAATTGTCCAGATAACTGGACTTGAATTTTCATCATAATTAGTTGAGCAATTGCTTTCGGTGAAAGTTAATTTTCTTGATTGTAACGGAATTGAAAGACTAAAGTAATTAACTGACATTTTAACAGTTAACGTTAATTAAGAGTCAACTATTTAATTGTACAGTTATTAATATAATCGGGTAACAATCAACCATTTCTTGGTCGATGAAACAATTAGGCTTAATTGTTATTGATTGACTATCATTATTACAGAATCATTTACAACTAGTTAATCAAATTTTTCGTAGATTTTTTAACTTGATTAATTATTTCTGTTTCTTTCACATCTTAATTAATGTAATTTAAATGAAAAAAAATCTTGATCTGGTTAAATATTAGGCAACTTAATTGTTGGTATAATAAAAATTAAATATCATTTGATAATTAACTGATTAGTTGGTAAATATATTTATCACCTTTTTTTATGCTGATAATTAGATTGGATTAATTAGTCTATTTACATGTTAATTAATTGTTTACCTTGGAATCAGTTTAATCATAATTGTATGATATGATGACAATTAAAACTACTAACGCTCTCTGTTGACAACAATTAAAGTTAACAATTTGTGTAACCAAATATAAACTATTGACAATCAATTAATATTTAGTGGTGAAAATTGATTAACTTACATTTCGATTTGTATTGTGATTAGTAATTAAATTGATATCTTCTCCTGGTACTGATGAGTAACAATTAACACCGTAATTTGGGTTACATTGACCGTTAATTGCTGTCACAATTTCCAGGGCTGCCAATGATGATGAAGATGAAGATGATGAATGATTAACTCTGAATGATGATAATCCATTAAGCTCATTGTTTTCATCGTTACCTTCATTCATATTCAAATGTTGTGATGTTAATTGTCAACAACAATCACCAATTAAAATTGATTCAATTGTTTTCCCCTTTTACATTTGATTGACAGTCCAGGTGATTAAAGTTAATCCATTGAGATTTTCAATTGATTTTCAATTTTTTTGCTCCTGAAATTAAGAAACGATAATCCAATTAGAAGAGCTCAATGATTAGAATTAGTAATTTATTATCAATCGATTACCTGAATTTTGTTTCCCTTGATTATTTGATGAGTCACAATCAATTTCTATTGTTATGCCGAAGGAGTTAATTAAATTGTTGATTAGTGAAGAGATTCAAAGTGATTAACATGATGAGTATTTCGATGAGTATATTTGAACCTTTTGATATTTTCGAGTTTCCAATTTGAACATTTGATTGTTGTCTCTCTTTGTCACCGAGTGAGAATCAATTGGATCAATAATAAGTTTCTTTGATAAATTGAGATTCATAATTTACAAATAATTGAATTAATTGTCGTTTGTTTATTAATCATAATCAAAGTGACAAATATTAAAAATAAACCAAAATGTTTACATTTTTAAACGAGGGATAAAAATCGATTTATTGACTGAATCGATTTTTTCGATCTTTTTTGCGACACTAAAAAAGACAGAGAAAAATGAATTACGTTACTTTCTAATTTAAGCGCTCAATTTGAATTGAAGAGTTTTTTTCGTTTTCTTTTCATCAATTGATTTATTTTATCATCAATTGTTATTCCATTATTTTAATTGTTTACAATTAACTTATAGTTAATAATTGATTGTATAGACTGATAGTAATTAGATAAAATTAAAGAGGGTTTTGTTTTTCTTCATCATCATCATAATCTAAATGGAGTTTGATTGATTTGGAAATCCCCTTAATTGATTTCAATGAATTAGAAGATAATTACTAATGATACCAGAGATTAGTGATTAGTGTCTTAGAGTTAATTGTGATCAAAGTGATCACTTTAATAACATTTCCACCACCAAACGGATAAGTTAATTTACCAACAAATTATCCAAATTTGTTTCCCAAACTTTCAACGTTAACAAATCAACACAATCAAATTGTCTTCTCATCAATTCCAAGTTGATCCATAAAATTAAACAACAAACAACCATAACAATTAACTTTCCCAATTAATATTCTAATTTACCCAAAATTACCCTTCCAACAGAATCAAAGTCAACCATCAACATGGAAACAATCAAATTAAACCCAAAGACAATTCCAACAATTTCCAATCGTTTCCCGATCATGAAAACACCAAAAGCAAGTAAGTCCATCATTATCCTCTCCCATAGACCCTAAAAAGAAAAGAAAACCTTAAATTCTAAAAAAAGAAAAAAAAATATTCTCTCTAATCAAAAAACGAAAACGAAAAAAAAATTAATTAATTTCTCCAAAAAATGAGCTAATCCAAAAAAAGAGAAAAAGTTACATAAGGAAAAGAAAATCCAACAGATGGAGTTGAGGTCATCTTCTTTTCTTCGCTTCGTCTATGAGTCTCTCTCCCTTTTTATTGCTTCATCTCTTGTTCCTGTTCCTGTCTTGTGTTTGTCTCTCATCTTGTTAGTAATTGTCCTCTTACTGTCTCCTTCTAGTCTTTAATTAATTAATCTTTACCACCTACAAGATAATCTCTTATTTTATTTAATTGTTTAGTTTCACATTCACATTTACTTAAAACAAAATGTCCGCTTACGATGAAGCCGCTCCAATTTATGGACCTTTCTTTGGTGTAATGGGCTCTGCTGCTGCAATGGTTTTCTCTTCACTTGGAGCCGCCTATGGAACAGCTAAATCTGGAACTGGAATCGCTGCAATGGCCGTCATGAGACCCGAAAGAATCATGCAAAGTATTATTCCCGTTGTTATGGCCGGTATTATCGGTAATTAATCAATTTTTCTACAATTAAATTTAACCTCAATATATCACTTTTGATAGACCAACAATTCCATTACCTGTCAACTTACCTTCTATTTCTTTCATCTTCATCTTTCTCTTTCTTTTTTCTCTTTCTTTCTCTTTCTCTTTCTCTTTTTTATTTTATTTTGTATTTTTTTTTGTTTCTTCTTGTTGATCATATTCAACCTTCAAATAACCTTTTCTATTTTTTTTTACTAATTATCCATAATGGTTACCGCTTCATTAACTACCTTGAGTTGATTGAATTTTTTTATTTTAATTCATTTGTTGGTCTGTTTGTCTCTCTTCTCCTATTTAAATTGATTCTTATTTTAATTTATCTTTTCTTGTTCTATTCTTTTTTCTTATTTTATCTATGGTTAGCTATTTATGGTTTAATCGTTGCTGCACTTATCGCCAATAACTTGAGAGCACCACCATCATATAAATTGTTTGATGGTTTCATCCATTTGGGTGCTGGTTTATCTGTGGGTCTTTCTGGTTTGGCTGCTGGTTTCGCTATCGGTGTTGTCGGTGATGCTGGTGTTCGTGGTACTGCCCAACAACCACGTCTATTTGTAGGAATGATTTTGATTTTAATTTTCGCTGAAGTACTTGGTCTTTATGGTCTTATTGTTTCACTTATTCTTAACACAAGAGTAAGCTCTTAATCAAGACCATATTTAAACAAAACAACACACACACAAAACTAAACATATTTACAAAAAAAAATTACAACATTTAATCATTTCCACTGTGAGAGATCAACAACAAAGAGAATCTTCAAAATCATACATTTAAACTAGAATTTTTTTCCCCTTTTTCTCATCTTCTGTGTTTCTGGATTGATTGTGATTCCATTTTATCATATATAAATATATATAAAATATATAATAATCATGCATTTAATTGGATTTATCGTATAATAAAAAAAATACATTGAAAAAAGAGAAACCCAATTACAAGAAAATATCAACATTTTATCATCTGAATCTCAATGACCTTTAAAAAGGTAATTCATTTAATCTTAACAATTAGAAAATAATATAAGAAGAGAAAAGGAAAGTCAACCAAATTAACTATGATTCTCATTTGTTTCTCATTTGTATCAACAGTTGTAATCTCCAATTAATCAACTAATCTAATTGTAAACCCAGAAAATTTTGATCACATTTCAAATGTTTAGATTAACAAGATTAATCATTTTTGTTTTTTACCATAAACCAATAAGATGAAATTAAAGAAGAACATTAAACTCAATGATAACCTGTTTGTATTTAAAGGTCACCATCAGTTGAAACTGATTAAATTGACTAATTGATTGGAGGTGTGAAAATGATTTGATTAATCACTTTTTTTTTATTAAAAACATTTCGTTCAACTAAAAATTTGAATTGACCGCTTTTTTTATTTTCTAAATTTTTACTCAACACGAGCTTCAGAATATAACCAATAGATGTCGCTACTTATTCCTTTCAATTTCTGTCAATCAAATTTTTTGGTTGTTACAATTAACGAGCAATTTAATCATGATTATAATGTTAACTGCTATTTGAAAGTGGTTGAAGATGATTATTAACATGTTGTGAGTGACTGTTAATCAGAATCTGTCTGAATAAGTACAAATTGAGTGACTTAATTATTGACATGAACTTTTTTTCTTGTTTCAAAATTGATTGTCAACTATTAGTTGATTTAGTTTGTAATTAATAACTTTGATTACACTCAATAGAGAGCGTTAACAGTTTTAATTGTGATTAAGACTCTCACTTGGTTCACAATCAACATGTAAATAGACTAATTAATCTCCAATCTAATCTACTAATCACCACACAGACACAACATAAATTAACTCAGTTAATTAACTTGAGAATATCAAATGAATAAATTTTCACAGAATCAAAAGCAAATTGCTAACAACTAATCACCAAGAATTAAGTTAATCCATATTTCCATTTTCCAATGCGAAATAATTTCGATGAAAATTAAACATCATAAGGAATCATCGGAATAAATTAATCAATGGAATTGTGAAAATCAATCAACATGATTAAATTCATATTCCAATCATGAATGAATCAATCAATAAAATAATCAAAATATGAGAAAGATTAACAAAAAAAACAATCAAATTAATCATGTAAATCAATTGAAATTGAATCAGAAACAAAACAAAGATTCAAATTAAATTGTAACTTTCAAAACAAACTAATTGTTGCATTGAAAGAAAACAAAATCAACGGAAGTCAATTGAATTAACTTTTGGAAATAATTAGTTACACATTTAATTGTTTGTCTAGTGTTTTACTCAAGAGAATTTGATTGCAATCAGTTTATCCGCCTCTCTTTTTGTTTCCACAATCAAAACTAATCAGATCAACTTTCAACAATTATCATTAATCACTTCCAACCAATGGCAATATAATGATCACTTAACTCATTACGATTATCATTTCATTCATTTTACCTAATGAGGGGAATTTTATTTCGATAAATTCAGATAATTAATTCTCTAATCTCTAATCTTCTCTGATTTGTTTTCTCTTCTCTTTTTTATTCCCATTTAGAAATCACCTATTCGACCTTATTGATACCTTCCATTGGGGAATAAGTGACTTTCGAGTGTAATATTAGTTTCATCTACTTTTCTATTAACCACAAATTCTCAATTTCCAAATCTGATCTAATAACAATTCATTTTCGACGATCCTCTGTAAATTCTGTTAGCAATTTATTTCCGTACTTGTGTGTTGTGTAAATTGTTGTAATTTACTAATTTAGTAATTTTAGTTTTCTCCTTCAATTATATTTATAGTTATTCGCAATTAGTGTTTTATAAAAAAAAAATGTCCGAAGGTGATTTAAGTGCTGCTCCAGTTTATGGACCTTTTTTTGGTGTCATGGGCTGCGCTTCGGCAATGGTTTTCTCAGCCCTTGGAGCCGCTTACGGAACAGCTAAATCAGGTACAGGTATCTCAGCGATGGCCGTCATGAGGCCGGAAAGAATCATGCAAAGTATTATTCCCGTCGTAATGGCCGGTATTATTGGTATGTACACTCGATAGATGAGTTGATAATTTCGCTAGAGAATTTGATAAATTTTCTCTTAATCGTATCAAGCGATGACTAATTATTTTCCTCTCTCTCTCTCTCACTCCCTGTCACATGATTATTCCGCCCTAAATTATCATGAATTGTGTTCATCCGAATTGACCTTGGAACTTGATTGTCAAAAATATTCACCAAAAGCAATTTATGGTTTAATCGTTTCTGCATTGATTGCTAACAATTTAAAGGCTCCACCAGCGTATAAATTGTTTGATGGTTTCATCCATTTGGGTGCTGGTTTATCTGTGGGTCTTTCTGGTTTGGCCGCTGGTTTCGCTATTGGTGTTGTCGGCGATGCTGGTGTTCGTGGTACTGCCCAACAACCACGTCTATTTGTAGGAATGATTTTGATTTTAATTTTCGCTGAAGTACTTGGTCTTTATGGACTAATCGTTTCTCTAATTCTCAACACAAAAGCCACCGTTGCCTAAATCACTCACCGAAAGAAAGATAAAAGATTATCATCACTAATTAGTTAATCACCTTTTCTTTTCTCTTTTCCTTTTCGTTAAAGTGATTAACCTTTTAACCTGTGTTTCTATTTCAACAAAGACAATTCAGTTCAGTAGGAAATATGATGAAAAAATAATATCATGAAACTGTTTTGATTTATACTAAATTGTTTGATCAATAGTCGCGATTCATTTTGTTTAATTGTATAATTAACTTATCAAGAGGTGAATGTTGTTTTTTTCAACTTAAATTATTCAAGATATCAATTAAATCATTTTTAATTTAATATCATTTTCTTCAATTGTAAACTCAATTACAATCTTACAATCAATTTTTCTCACTTTTCAACTGATTGTCAAAGTTAATTTAGTTTGTATTTTGTCACACTAATGATTGACTTCAATTATTGTCAATAGAGAGCGTTGAGAAAAGTTTCCAATGATTAACTGTTAATTGCCGTTAAGTGAACAATCAATTGATACAATTAGATTAGAGGTAAAGTTAATTGTCGAGTTGAACATTAAAGAAATGTCCAGAACTCAGTCGACTCATTCTCGATGGCCACAATGACCAACCTCACGGCTCGGCTAATGATGTTAATCAAAAGTCAACTATTGATTGTCGATAATCAGGAAAACTTAATCAATCTTTCTGCTGTTATCCTTTACTTTACTAATTGTTAGTAATCAAAGCTCAAGTATCTCTCAACTTGTTGATCAATAATCACAAACGACAAATCAACTCTCCTAACGAAACGATTGATTGTTTGATAAAATAATAGAAACTTTTTGTTTCTCGAAGGGTCATTGTTGTGGTCACTCTAATAGTCGCGAGGAAATAAAACAAAATGGACACATTGAATTTAAGAGAAAAAAAGTTCTCTGGTCAGATATTAATTGTTTTGTTTGTAGTAAAAAAAATGACAGAAAATAACAAAATGAGTTTATTGAAGTTTCTCAATGAAGGTTGGTTGATATTCCCTTCTGGTACGACGGTTGACACTTCGAGCGTATCTCATTACGTTGCCGGTCGACGGTGCGGGGGCAGCGGCAGCGGGTGAATTTTGTAACAAGAAAGCTTGAATGAATGGACTAGAATCGAAAAAAAAAAAGAATAAAAAAAAACCGTTAATTGGTTAGAGAGAAGAAAAAGTTTTCCTTGACCAGTGGTCAGTTTTATCTCATTACAATAGTAACGTTTATGGATCAATAATCTTCATCCACGATTATTGGACAAGTGAATTAATAACAATAACAATCAATGCGTTAATTGTTTAAGGTGAATAATCAAATATCAATTAACTTAAATTTCTAATAATAGAAATTAACTTAACCATGATGAGAAAATGGTAACATTGGTAATCAGACATTTAAATGATTTAAGATCAAAAAAATTAGTGACAATTTAAATTTCAAATGGTTAATTAGTGTAAGTGTAAAGTAAGAAAAAAAAAGTTTTTGATTAGTTTAATTGTTATTACTAAATGAAATTGTAAATTAACTTAATTAAATCGTAATCAACTAACGATTGGGATAAAAATATCCCTTTAGTTTGTTAACTTAGTTAACAATTTAAAGTTTGTTTAAATTGTGATTTAGATTTTGAAAATTTACCTTCACCATGATGATGATCACAATTAAGATCAAATAATGATGATGATTAGGATGATTTTAATCATCATCTTAATCATTATCAAATAACTTAAATTTAAGGTGTGAATCAATTTCTGTTATAACCAGATTAATATATTGTTAAGTTAGTTGTACAAACGATTAGTTAATTGTAGCAATTGATCATCAACAATTGGTTAAAGGCAATCGAACCTTAATTTACCCTAATTTAGTTTCTTAATCATTCAATAATCGTTCAATAAATCAACCATTTAAATTGTTACGATGATCAATTTAACCTCAATTTTACCTTCAAAATTTATAAATAATTAAATCCTTTCTCCTCTTGATTATTTGCTTTAATTAACTTTTCCCGTTAATCAACAAACTTAATTGTATACTTATGATTACATTTCCAACTGATTAATATTTCAATAATAACAATAATGATAATCACTTTCGTTAATTGTTCATTGTCAACTTTTTTCATTTTCATTGTCAATTGGACAGTTAATCAAATACCATTTCTAATTAACTATCAATTAATTTACTATTTTATCAATGATTCCTTAACCAAACTAATTAAGGTTAATTTCTAGTATTTCTCAACAATTAGTTAGCAATTGTTTTCCGTTCAATTGTTTACTTTGTGTTCAAATGACAATGGAAATTGTGAATTAATTATAATCAAGAATACGAAAACAATTGATTATATTAATATTGACAATAGTCCATTCTGATTATCCTTGATTGTTTTTTAATTTCAACCAAGTTGATTGTAATTATTTAAATTTCAATCTCAACAATTTAAACAAAAGTAACTCCATCTATGATGAGATTAGGAAAAAGTTACAAGCCGAAACAGCTGAGAACGACAATTGTAACCGTTAATTGTTGTCTAATTGTTACAATTAGAATTAAATTTTGGCTCTATCTATTGGTTGGTTGGTTATTTACAAAGGTTTAAGTTGATTTAGTGAACTGAATATTAAATGAATGAAATTTTCAATAAGAAAACGAGAGAAAATGTCACTCGATTATATCGATAATCTTAATCTTAGGATTAACTTGACTCTCAACTGATTTTTGGATTAGAGGATTGATTTGATTACTTACTTGGTTCGAATTGAATCCCATCGTCGTTTAAGAATGTTGAAAACTGGATCAGTCATACTGCCCAATCCAATATTCCGGAAGATAAGTTGCCATGAGGGTTGAGTATCTGGCTGATTATCGGAAGCTGAACTGAAAACTGCTATTCCTGAGCCTTGGTTTGGGGGCTGGGAGTAACTGGTTGGCACTGAGATTAAGACAAAGAAAAGTGTAGCAAAAACGGCAACATTATTAACCATCATTTTGATTGATTTATTGGTGGTGTTGATGATTTAGGTGGTTGATTAACTGAAGATTTTGATTGTACGATGCTCAGGAATTAACGATCCAAAAAATTTGTCTAAGCGATTAAAGCTTATGATGGATTAACGTTGATAACACCAAAACGAAGGCAACAAAATTATTAAAAAAAAAATATAACAACAAACGGATAATAATCAATGGATGTGATGTCAAGACGGATAATGATGAGGATGACAACCGATGGGTCACTGATGAGAGAGAAATGAAAAACAAAAACAATCAATAAACAATATTTGATAATCAGATTAAATATTAAACAAGAAAGGTAAATAATAAAGAGAATCAAAAATCAACAAAAAAAACAAGAATATTGAATAAAATGAATTAGATACAATATTGTATCTCGATCCTTGAGATAATAGTATCAATACAATCAATATAACTGTAAACTTAATTGTGATGGAGAAATGATAATTATATTAGTAGTTAGAATTTAAGAAATTGAATTAGTATTACATATATTTATATTGGACACTTACACAAATGAAAAAACTTTTTCTTCTCCTTGATTGTTTGGGTTAACAATTAACGATTGATCTGAACTCTTAACACTCTGAACAGCAACTGATTCCCAACTGAATCAGGTAAGCTGATATTAAGTGAATTTAAGTGATGCCCAATTCAGGGTTGGGGTGAAAAAAGTGGAACCCACCTTACCTTTACTGTTTTCATGCCTCTCTCATCATCCGTCATCCCTCTTCTCTTTCTTCGTCATCATCATCCTCTTTCTATCCAGTTACTGAAACATTTCTAAGATGATGATGATGATGAAAATACTCTCTCATGTACCGTTAGAATTAGGTGAAACGAAAGAAAGATAAAGTTATTTTATTTTCTTTTTCAATCTATGTCATGGTAAATTTAATTGCTTAAATAATAATTGTACCAAATGATTAAGGATGCTGATGAAAATGATGATGATTAACGGCTCATCATCATCTTTCATCCTCATCTTTTTCTTATCATCTTCCAATTCATTCATTTGACGTTTTTTCCTTCCTCTCTCTCTCTCTCTATCAATATCTTCATCATCATCTTAGTATTTAACAAACACCAGCAATTAGAATACTTTTGTCATTCAAATGATCACAATTAACTTTGATTGTGATTATTAGATTCATCTAAATATTGGTAATAACAATAATCATCATCGTAAGTACAAATCTAATCAATAATTGATTTGATTAGTTTTTGTTTAATTTTCTAATCATCGTCTTGTTATAATACATTGTTTCAAATTGTTACAAGTTTTACAATTTAAATTGTTGTTGTTGTTGTTGTTGAATTAGGAGTTAAATGATTAACAGATTTGATTATATTATGCTGATGATGATACTATTATTAATCAATTGTAATGGTTAATTGTGATTGTTTTAAGTTACAACAGTACAATATTTCAATAGAAATGATTATTTTTAGAAAACAACAATTTATAAATTGTTGAACACTTTTTTTTCTGATCATGTTATTAGTTAATTGTTTCAGCAAATTATTGTCAAAAACAACAACAACAACAACATCATTAAGCTAAATTATTTGGATATTTTTTTCTTATTCGTAATGTTAAATGTTCAGTTGATTGATTGATTGTTGATCAATCGTTAATTGTGTTTAGTGATGATTAAGAAAAACAATCAAACTAATTGATATTCAGGTAGAAAATTTTTAACCAGACACTTGAGACTCTCAAGTAACAATTAACTCAACAAGATGAGCCTTAATTAGTTAATTGTTCAAGTTGATAAGAAATGTTTAGGTCAATAGTTATTGTTGATGGTCAATAATAATTTAGCAATTTAATGTCAACGTTTTGATCAGAAACAATCAAAACTTTACTAATATTATAATATTGGAGTAAAAGTTTCAACATTGGTCAACAAGGATGATGAATGGTCAGTATAATGCCAAGAGTTCATATGATATTTCAAATGAATGGTCAGTTAATTAATGGACTACACTATGTTAGACCCACAGATCGTTGACCTAACGGGTTTCCTATTGTTACCTAATGATGATCAATATTAATGGAAATTGTTTTATTACCAATGCAAAAAAACTTTGAAACGATTTAATTTTTTTACTATTCATCATATTGTTAACTTTGTGTGTTGTCCAGTTAATTGTGATAATGATGATAACGATTATGATAATAATGATGATTTCTAATGACTTTAATGAAGTAATAAAAAGGTTAACACTTAAGGCCTAACGGGGTGTCGTGACTTGATTTCACGATATTTGACCTGCAAGGAGCCGTTAAAAGGAGATCAGTGGGAGCACGATTGTTCAATTTATCAACAATTTATCATCTTGTCTGTGCAACTAATAAGCAAAAAGAGATCGACAAAGGATGAAGATAAAGATGGAAATTGATGATGACGAAAAGATGATGGAAGAGAAGTGCTTCTCTCTCATATTCATCTTCATCTTCATCTTCATTTCAAAATTACGATTTCAATTTCTTTCTCTATCTCTCTCTTATTTCGTCAATATCCAGTTCGATTAGCAATTAGGACTAAATAGACTGGACTTTAAGACGATGATGATGAAGATGAAGATGAAGATAAAGATGATATTCAAATGGACTTTATGTATCATTCATCATCTTTATCATCTCAATTTGAAAGGAAAGATAAATGATGATGAGGTAACATTTAAAGACGAAGATGAAGATTGGAAAGTGTCTGAATAGATATTCATTATTATTCAAATGAATTAACTTGTAATTGTAATATTAGTTAACTTGATTAAAGTTGATTGAAAATGTTTCATCATCATCACCCTAACGTGTCTCATTATATTTATCATCTTCATCTTTGAATTTATATATTTAGTAATCATCATCATCATTTGTAACTGTAAATACTTTCATTGGTGTTTATCAATTATACAATTATGATGATGATGATGAGGATGAATAAATTATTTACTATTAAGATGATGATTGTTATTAATTGTGATAATGATGATGTGTATGATTATTATATTATTATTATGATACGAAAGGATCATGTTAATTTAATTCAGTAAAGTTTCAATTCTAATCACGTTGTTAACACTTTTTTGTTCAAAACTAACGGTAAACTCAAAACAAACAAACAGTTAGTTGATGATGATAATAATGATGATGATGATAATTCATTAACAGATTAAAACCAGTTATTCATTTATTATCATTATGATTATTATCATGATTGTTAACAATATTAGTAAATGATTGATTGAATTTTAAACAACAATAATAGTCATCATGATAACAGCAACGATAATATCGTTGATTGTAATTGAGAGAAATGAATTGATAGCAGAACAAAAAAAATGTAAACAATCAACTAACTGTAGAAGACAATTAATTATCTAATCTAATTTTCAAATTGTGATTATAAACAATTTAACCTTCTCGAAACTGATTAAGTGTTCATGAATCATTATAATGGATTAGATTGATGAGAAAATGAAGATTCCAGTGATTAAGATGATCGTTTCTCTCTCTCTCTCTCAAAACTATTGATCGTCATGATGATGATGACCAACTATTGATGGTCAATTGAAAGATTAGTAGGATATACAAGGATGAGAATAAATCGGATTAAGATTCATCCTCTTTTTCACAGATAAATTTAATAATAAAAGATGAAAGAGTAGAGAAGAAAAAAAAAGTTCAGAAAAAAAATGAAAACATTTCCATGAACTGAACTTTTTCTTGATATTGATGATATTCATTCATTTCTAATCATCATCATCATCATCATCTTAACATTGATCATTTTTTTTATTTGTAAGTTCATTATTCAGGTCACACTCACTTACACTATTTTACTCATTTCATTGACTCTCAATTCTGAAAGTCTCAAAGCTTCATCTCTTTATCATCCGGTTTAAATCACCATGAAAATTATCATGAAATAGTAAAACCAACAGGTAACAAAGATAAACTTTACAAAGTCTCTTCATTTATCATTTAAGAATTAGAAATGAATGATTATCATAAAGAAAAATTGATTGATAATTATTTAAGATGATCAGTTTATCCTCATCACTTTATCATGATAACAATTCATGTTCCATCTTGATTGATGATATTAATACGCTTTAAATATTATATTCACAGAATAGACAATAAGATAACGATAATATCAACTTGGAATCTTAATCTTTTCTTTCTTATCATTATTCAAATGCTGATCCATTATCATGGAAACATAATCAACATGACGATTCAACTGAACTGTTTCAATTTCTGTATTCAAATTTCAATGGAAACTTTTCAATTCTGTAGATTGTTTCCTCGATGAAACAGTTTCAATTTAGAGGATTATTCGATTAGTCCAATCAATCGATATCGAAGCAATATTTTACCGTTATCTTATAAGGATATTCACTCTTATCTTCATCCTAATCATCGTTTTCATTTGGTTTTACTTTTTGAGGTTAAATACAGTTTTCGTTACTAAATTAAACTTTTCTTTCTTTCTCTCTCTTGAAATTTGCTTTCCTTTATCCGGATTAATTTTGGCTACAAAGTTAATTAAGGGAAAAAGAAAGATGAAGGAGATTCTGATGATGATAAAATGATGATGAAAATGAAAGAAGAAGAGAAAAAGAAAGAGAAAGAGAATCGATCGATAGCTAAGAAAAGGACGTTAATCGTCATCATCACATTCATAAAAAGGTGAATCAAATAGCCTTAAACAAACTGGTCATCTTCAAGTTTTCTCCTTTATCCTCCCCTGTCCCTCCCTCATTTCTCTCTCATTATTTATCTCTCTCTCTCTCTCTCTCTCTCTCTCTCTCTCTTCACCATCAGTCGTTTTTAGGTTCAAGTGTGAATTTCAAGTTTCCGAAGTAAGCAGCATAAATAAACGATCTTGAAAATGCTTGTATTAGTAGAGGTCAGCGGCTATTGACCTGGTAAAAGTTGATTCGGGTTCCCTTTTCATAAGTAAGAAAAAAATCATTATCATCATCTTATTGATCATCATCATCATCATCAACAACAACAAGACACAAGAATACGAATCGAAATTCAGGAAAAAAAATGTATAAATAAATATTGTGTTTATATTTATATTTGTATTAGAAAGAGAATGTGATTTTCTGGCTTAACTAATCCTAATAAGATGATGATTATGATTATGATAAGGATGATAAGCAATATGATTATTAAAAAGCTCAACTAATTTGATCATCACTTATGCTGAACAATTTCCTGTTGTAAACACTATTTAAAACACTTATTATCGTTGGGACGTTCCAACGATTCTGGTTAGTGTTACGTTAACTTTATTATCGATCAAATTTCATTGAATTTCTTTATTTTTCCATCATAATCCTCATCTTTCATTTTCTAAAAATATTTTCCCCAATAATCAACGATTATTATTATATATTGATGATAATAATCAACGTAACGAAATTAAATCTTGTGTATAAATTACATTCAATTGTTTGATTAATGAAAATTTGGAAAAGTAAAACTTTTGTTTTTCAAAACTCGAAACTTGATCAACCTTTTTGATATTATTTTTCATATTTTTGTATTAATATTTGTTCAGTTGATTGTCAGTGGATGTTGATTACTCAATTAAATTGTGTGATCTTTGATTTTTTCAGACAATTCAACAATTAACAAAACTTTT